TTGATACATAATCAATTTAATATTAAAATAAAAGCAATCAGATTAAATAATACTAAAGAATTTAATTCTAATTAATAGAATTTATTCGCTAAATCTAAAGGAATTATATTAGAATATATTAATCCTTACCATTATTCTTAGAATGGAATAGCTGAAAAATTAAATAGATATTTAATAAAAAAAATACTAATATTTATAAAAAATAAAAATCTATTTATATTCTTATGGTCTAATATATTAAAAGAAATAGTTTATATTAAAAATAGATATTATAATAAAACTATAAAAAGTTTATTCTTTAAATTATTATATAATAAAGAACCTAATATAAAATATATTAGGATTTTAGAATCTCTTATATATATATTAAAACATAAAGAAAAAAGAGATAATAAATTTGATTATAAATTAGAAAAAGGAATTTTAATAGAATTTAAATCTTTAAAGAATTTATTATTTTATATTCCAAATAGAAATAAGATAATGAGTTTTAATAATTTTATTATTAAAGAAGATATACTATATTATAATAATAATATTAAAAACAATTTTATTAAAAAGAATTTATTAAAAAAGTTAAAAGAAAATTCTAATATTAATAATCAAAAAGAAAAAATAAATATATATAATAATATATATAAAAATTTAAATAAAAATATTAATTCTAAAGATTCTAATATAAATAAAAGCAGATTAATAATTGAAATACCATTTAATTCTAATTTGCCTACCCCTATTAAACAATCTAAACATACACAAAAAATAGAATCATAATTAGATATATATAATCTCACTTATATATTATATATTAAATCAAAGAATCAAAATTATAAATTTAAATTAAATAATATTGATAATAATCAATATAAAAAGAATATATTATTATATTTCAATATAAAAACTAACGAAAAAGTAATAATAAAAAGATCTTATAATAAAAATTTAATAACTCCTGAAATGTATTTACAAACTATAAATTCTGATTAAAAAGAATATTGGAAAAAAGCTATAGAATATAAAATAAAGATTCTTGAAAAGAATAAAACCTGGGATATTATTATTAAAAAGAATAATAATAATATAAAAAAGCTCAATATCCTAAAAACAAAATAGATTTATAAAATTAAATATTTATTTAATAATAATATTGAATTTAAAGCTAAATACATAACTAAAGGGTTTGAACAATTATATAAATTAGATTATTTAAACACTTTTACTAACATAATAAAGCAAATAACCTGGAAATTAGTATTTACACTAATAATAAATAAAAAATAATATATATACAAAATAGATATAATTTTAGTTTTTGTACAAAAAGATATTAATAAAAATATATATATTAAAACCCCTGAAATATATTATAATAATGATATAATATTAAAGTTAAATAAAGCTTTATATAGATTAAAATAGTTTGCTAGAATCTGGTATATTACATTAAAAAGTATATTAAATAAATTAAATTTTATTAATATAAAATCAGATGAGTATATATTTATAAATAAATATTTGGGATTAATATTGAATATATTCGTTGATGATATTGCTATTGTAGACTCTAGCGAGGTTTTAATCAAAGATTTTATTAAAAATCTTAAAAACTATTTAGATTTAAAAGATTTAAATCTAATAAAAGATTATTTAGGTATTCAAATTAATTTAAATAAAGATTATATTAAATTAAATTAAGAAAAATATATAAATAAATATCTAAAAGATTTAAAACTAAAAAATTACACTCTTGTAGCTATATTTATAATTACTAAAAATGATATAAAAATAAATTCTAATAAAGTCGATTTAGATAAAATCAAATGGGCATAAAAAGCAATAAAGAAACTATTATATTTAGTATTAGGAACTAGATGGGATATTACTTATTTTATATTAAAATTAGTAAGATATATATTTAATCCTAATAAAAATTATATAATAACTATAAAAAGAATATTTCGATATTTAAAAGGGACTAAAACGTTTAAAATTATGTATAAAAAGAATAATAATAAATATATTAAAGGATTTTGCAATGCAGATTATGTGGGAAATAAAAGCTCTACTAAATCCATTAGTGGCTATATATTTATATATACTAATAATCCAATCAACTGGAGGACTAAATTACAATCTGTTGTAGTACAAAATATAGCAGAATCCGAACTAATTACTATAAATTTAGTCGCTAGAGAAACTGTCGGGACAGGGATCATGTGACCGCACTAGCGCTTGCGCTAGTGCCTCGGCACTATAGTATAAACGTATCGTAGCCCTAGCTTTTAGAACCTTAAGCAATATTACAACAGTGTGAACCATAGTACTATGTTGTCTTCACCATCCCCATGGTGATACCAACAGAAACTATATATTTAAGATGTATATTACAGGAATTAAATCAATTTAATCAAGATAAATTCCTATTATATATAGATAATATGTTAGCAAAAACTATATCAAATAATCTTATATATTATGATAGGAGTAAGCATATTAATATTAAATATTATTATATAAAAGATTTTATAAATAAAGAATATTTAAATTTAATATAGATTTCTATAAAAAATTAACTAGCTGATGGATTAATTAAGCTATTAGATAAAATCAAATTATCAAGATTTATTGATATGATTCAAAATTTTAATAATTATTATTAAAAACAAAAATATATATTTATTAATACTCTTTTTCCCTTTATAAATAAGATTTTTAATGAAACTAATATATATATATATATAAGATATTAATACTCTTTTTCCTTTAAAAATAAGAAGGTTTTAATAAAACTAATATAAAAATATATATATAAATATATATAAAAAGATAATATACATTAAAAAGGACTATTATTTTAATTAAAATAATTATTGTTTTAATTAAAATAATATAATATATATATCTTTTTAATAGCATTCAATTTAGTATTAGCATATTATATAATCAGATCACATAATTGTCACCTATAAGCTTATAAAAGCGACCATTAATCCGAAAACAATCATTAAGCCGAAAACGGCCATAAATCCGAAAACAAATATAAAATAAAAAATATGAAAAAGGGCTTTATTTCGAAAGAATAAACAGATTAGAAAGAAATCTAAAAGAGATTTATGAAAACATAAATACTGAATTAAAAGGAAAAAGCATAAAAAGAGGCCTTTTTCCCTTGAATATAAAATAAGAAAGAAAATTATTCAATACAGATTCTTTAATATCACGTGTCACACTGCTTATATAATCCATTTTAGTCGTTAACCTGAGCCAGCTTCCATACTATATTACTAGCCTATGACCTACGATAAATATAATAGATCCTAAATTATTAGAATCTTTATAATTTTAATCAATTGATTCAATTATTATTGAATAATATAGTTTTGAAAGTATAAATTGAGGTGAAAGTAACCCATTCACTGATATAACCCACTCACTGATAAACTACGTTATATCACTCTTTCAATTATTATTTATTGAAAAACTAATTAGAGTATTCGAAAAAGCTTAATTGATATTATTATCTAAATTTGTATCGAATTAATTAGAGTTGTAATTATTATAAAATTCAATTAAATTTTTTTTTTAAACTAACTAAATTATTTTCAACTATTTCTGTCGTAGGTCATAGGCTAGTAGTATAGTATGGAAGCTGGCTCAGGTTAACGACTAAAATGGATTATATAAGCAGTGTGACACGTGATATTAAAGAATCTGTATTGAATAGTGATCGCTCTTATTCTACATTCAAGGGGAAAAGGCCTCTTTTTATGCTTTTTCTTTCTAATTCAGTATTTCCGTTTTCATAAATCTCTTGTAGATCTCTTCCTAATCCGTCCATTCTTTCGAAATAAAGCCCTTTTTCATATTCTTTATTTTATATCCGTTTTCGGATTTATGGCCGTTTTTCGGCTTAATGGTCGTTTTCGGATTAATGGTCGCTTTCGTAAGCTTTATAAGCGATGATCATGTGATTTGATTATATAATATGCCTATACTTGATTGAATGCTTATTAAAAAGGTGTATATATTATATTATTTTTAATTAAAACAATAATTTCAAATTATTTTTATTAATATTAAAATTAAAATTAATTGAATTACCTTATTAAACTGAATATACTAATAGCTTTTTTAATAATTCTAATAATATTAAAACTATATTATCGATAAAGATTTAATTGCTCTTCGAATTTTAAAATAATAAGAAAATCCATTTCTATAAATTCAATCTACAATAAAATAATATAATGATTGAATAATTTTAAATATTTAATTGAAAATTTGAAAAATCATAAATTGTTGGGATTTATATTAAGGCCAGAACCAAATAGTTTCAGATTCTACAATAAAAAACCTTCAGGAGGCCTCTACCTCGAAATCAAGGCCGAAAATTATGTAATCACCGTGTGGTCTAAGGATGAGATAAATGTAAGGCTGAGTTCCTTCTCCATAAACTTGTGCACGTGGCTTTATGTCGTGCCATTTTGCTCTTTATATGTGTGACTTTTGATACCTCACTCCTCACGTCAATGGAAAGAATCACTACTATAACCACCTTTTCCTTTGGTTCTCACATCGAGTGATGGGGACAGGCCAGAGAAGGAGTTCTTCAGTCAATTCGCATTGTCATCCACCAAAAATCATAGATCACAGGGCCTTTGAGACTAGACATCTTGTGCAAAACAATTTAGTATGCTACAAGCAAAGGGTATAGCTAAAAAAAAATGCATCTAGTATCTAAACATTCTGGACCTTTTAGGCCATCATTAACATCCTTCATTCCATTCATATGCGCATATCATGATATCCATCCCAATTCATATCGAATCTAACCATGCCCAACCTGTACACCTTTCCAATGCAAATATCATGCTCTTGCTCGCTCATTTTCATATGCTCATGCAATCATATCATGTCATGAAAAATAATAAGAAAAACAGTAAAAAAGTCCTCCAAAAAAAGAAAACGCCAACCGATTGATATCAATCCTCCCATGATGATCATGATAAACTTGAATGACCTTGCGTGAAAGCCTGCAATCTCAAACCACTCAAGGCAGGACCGTCCTTAGTACTACTGGCGTTGCTTCCACCCCTACTCCTCCTTGTCCCAAGTATACGGTGCTCACCAGGAATCTTTCCATTACCACCGACCAAAGTTTTACTATGAGTTAGATGATCCAGATCATCACTCGAATGAACAGCATCAACTAGATCATCAAATTTTCTAGAGGTTCCCGCGATTTTAGCACCTATAACGGCCAAAGAATCGCGCGTTCGTCTTAATCCATCAATGTTATTGTGTGTTAATCGTTCGAGAGTAGTGTGAATACCCCTCAGCTCAGTTTCAATCTTTGGAAAAGTATAATCGGAAATTCCACGGATTCGTGTACCGCTATCATGAGCCAATTCGTCGAGTTGTGAGACTGCTTTGTCCAGTTCCTTGGTAAGTCGCTTGTTTCCTTCAAGAACAACGGATTTTACTTGTGCACCGGTTTCGAGTACACGATTGTCTATTCGGGCTAGTGCTGCGCCATTAACGCGAACGGCGGTTGTGGTCTGGCCGACTGTTGAATCGAGGTTTAGAATATTCGAGGATAAGGTGTGGATCGTTGAAGAGTTTATTTCAGCCGATGAAATCAAGTCGTTCTTGATGTTTGAGAGCAGCGAGGCATTGTCGTTTATTTTTGTAGAGATATGTTCAACGGAGTCACGGATGGATCCAGTGGCGTTGTCACAGTTCTGCAGTTTTTCCAGGGTTTGAGCATTGGACTCTCTTTGGAATGTCTGGAGGCTCGAGAGGGAATAGCTGATACCAGGAATGTCAGTATGGGTCAATGTATCCACGGTAGTATAAGTATTTAAAACTGTCTCACGGATATTTGAAAGCCTCGCTGCGTTGCCTTCTACGGCACTAATGGTCTCCTGAGCGGCTTTTGAAAGGGCTTGGTCCACGGCCTCAATTGCTTTTCCAATCTTCGCAATATCTCCAGAGAGGAGATACTTCATCTTGTAGTCCAGCTGAGACAAGGCCGATGCATGGTCATTAGCGATTTGAATTATCTGGGGAACGGCCTTCTCGATAGAATCGACGGAGGCTTGGTTCTTGGCCGCAGCGGACTCGAGTTCACTGAAATCGATGGCCTGGATATCCTGGCGAATCAGGGGAACTTGTTTATCTAGAAGGAACCTAATGTCATTGGTACTTGTAGCAACACTTGACTTGATGTTTGTCAACATCTCAGTATTACCTTGAACGTCTCTCCCAGTCTCCTTGATCGCCTCATCAATCGAAGCTACAAATTTGGATATAGAATCTATTGACATGTTCATTGAAACGTTCTCGGTTGATCTGATGTTAGTAAATGCTTCAGGGAGGGCGGCCAAATTTCCTGCGGTTTCCACGGAGGTTTTGTATGTTGATTGAACATCTCTGCTCAACGCATCAATAGATGTGTTTGTTGGACCGAGGTCAATGTTTTTGATATCCGATTTCAATTCGCTCGTAGTGGATGTCAATCTTGAGCCAAGATTCTTCATTTCACTCTCAAGTTCAGTAGCTACATCATTGATCGAAGCAACAAGCGCGGATTTGTTGTCGTTGAGGTTGGTTCCGATTGCTGAATGAAGGTTTTGGATGGCAGTAGTGACTGATTCTTCGCTATCTTTGATCTTTGTGTTGACGGAAAGGATTCCATCGTAAGCCGAAGCAAGAGATGTTGTGTTGTTGTTAAGAAGTTCTCTAATTGCAAGAATTTCACCCAACGTTTTCTCGATGCTGGCATTCTTGATTTCCAAGACGTCGGTATGAACAGCTCCGATTGATTGACCGTTAGAATCAGCGACCTTCATGATAGCTTCCAAAGCTTTCAAAACCTCTCCCTCTTGAGAGCCCGAGCCTGCTGTAGTCGAAGAGGTATCGAGGTTCTTAATTGCCTCCATGATTTCCTCATCTTTGCTTCCGTCCTTGATGGTATCAAGAATGTTCTTCAACGCAGCAATGTCTTGAATCATTTCGCTCTTTCTGTTGTCAGCTTTGACGGAGTCAACAAATTCCTTCATGATCAAGAGTTGTCCAAGGATCTCATCGCTTCGTTTGTCCTGTTCCATTGAAGATTTGACATGCTCGATAGCGCCTAGGATCTCATGGTTGGCGCCGCTCTGCTTGATGTCCCTCAAGACAACATCTTGATTATCTAGAGATGTACCGAATCTTTCAAGTTGGGTATGCAAGCCTTGAATGCCTTCACGTCCAGTAGCCGTTCCATTTTCAACGTGCTGGTCGATGGTCTCTAAGCTGATTGTGATCGTCTTGAGGGTTGTTTCAGTGCCGGAATGGAAAGTAGATAGATCATGAGAAATAGTATCGAGTTTCGTGGAGTGAGATGCCAAGAGCGTGGCGAGAGAATCATTGTAAGACGCGGACTGAAGATTGTTGAGCAAAGTGGCAATGTCGTCCAGCTTCTTTGTGTCTATGGGCAACACAGTTTGCCTGTGAATATCCTCAAGAGAGTTGCTTTGAGTTTCAAGTCTTGCATCCAATTCTGCCCGCATATCTGATAGTCGATTGGCCAAGTCATCAAATCTGGCAACTTCGTTGCTTGGGAGTAAGGCTGAAGTTGTCTTCGAGACACCATCTTGGATTCCGGCCATTGATTCAGCGAAGCTAGTCATCATTGATGCGATCATTGTGAGTTTGTCCCTATGAGCATCGAATTGAGATGTGTTCAATGTTTTCACGTGTTGCTCAACTCGATCGAGAGTGTCTTTCACAGTTATTGTTGTAGAGGTGAGAGTATCCAATTTCTCTGAGTTAGAGGTGTGTATAGATTGGTCATTCGCGGAGACATGCTCATTAACGGATTCGACCACTTCGTTGATCTTGGTGACTTGCTCGATGATGTTGCTGAGACGAGATGTGTTGGTCGACAGCAATTTCGAATCAATGGATGCCAGCTGGCCCTGACCTTCCAATTCCTTTCGAACAGTGATAATGCTTCTTTCGATATCATCTAACCTCTTCGAATGATGTTCCAGTGATGATGTGTTAAGGGAAGAGACAATATCGCGGACTTCTTGGATATTGCGAGCCAATCCTTTTTCTGTACTTTGGATATTCTTCTGGGAGTCTTCCAATTTTGAGACACTTTTCTTCAGACTTTCCATTCTATCAACCATCTGGGAGTTTTCATTCAACATCTCATCGAGCTTACTAGAGTTCGAGGACGATGAATCAAATTCCATAGAGGAAACTTTATTGATGACATTTCGACTGGATTTCCCGAGATCCTCAACCATCCCAATCAATTTCCGATGACTGCCATCAATCTTCTTACCCAAATCGCCTTCGACAGACCACAGTCTTTCCCCAAGCATCTTGTTTCGGTCCTGGAGTTCGTTGGATAATTCACCGAACCTGATGGCAGATCTTAAATCTGCGTTTACAATCTCTCCATCAAGGCTGGTTATTTTCTCACCAAACTCATCAAATTTCGTGTCGATACCAGTCAGACGCTCATCAAGTGACTTTAAGTATTCTAAAATCTTCTTTTGGCCTTCAACGAGAGACTCAATGTCGTCCTCGGTGTCTGGAACATCGTCAATCAATTGACTGATTGGTTTTAAAGCTGGATCCAAAGTAGCTTTAATGTTTGAGGTACTGAATGATGACTCAAGGTTCAATGTCGTAGCTTTCAAAGCATTCAACTTTTCTTGCTGTCGAGAAAGAGCAGCGGTCACGGGATCAATTTGAGAGGCAATGACATTTCTGAAGGCATCACTATTGAGTGCATTTAAAACAGCTTCCTCGACAGCTTTCTGGAATGGTTCTTCCGAGCTTGGAGTGTATTCGGTCCAAGAGTTCAATCCGCCGGATGTGGTTGGTCTAGTCGTACCGGCCGTTCCAGGTGGTGCGGAAGCGGTGGACGAGGTACGTTTGTTCTTCCACCGGTTAAGAACCGATCGACTACCGTTCAACGACATATTGAGCGCCGAAGGTGTTTTGGGTTTGGATTAATCGAAGAGTAGATGGATGTTGATCGCGAGAGAGGTGTTTGCTTGCTTGCTTGCTTGACTGATTGTTGATGATGATTTTTACGTTTGGTGGATTTATATATGTTAGAATTGTATGATTATCGACCGACTTTCTGGCTTGGTGTGATGGTCATGATGTTGGAAAGGTTTCCATGAGGATGAAGGAGGTGAAGATATTGAGAGAATGTATAAGAAAAATGAAGGGGTTGGTGAAATGGATATCAATAAAAGGTCAATTTCGATAAGAACAATGGATGAGCCGTATACGAAGTATTAATGAAATGAAATAATTAATGCTCTTTCTCTTTTTTCTCTTTTTCTCTCCCTTCGTCTCCTCTATCTACATGTACATGTTTATGCTGTTTATGCTGCCATGCAAGCAAAGACCATGTGGCGCTGGGGAGTGGAGTTCGAGGTAAGACGTGTCCGATTGAATTTGGTTAGCATATCCCGTGATAATCCGTTGAAACTCATCTCTTTTTACGATATAAAGAATAATTCGTTGTCATTCATGCCTAAAAGTAACTAAAACAACACACAAATGATACTATTCGCCTCCGACTTGTACCTTGATTGCCCTGCTTGCAGTCGTGTTATTGGATTTGTGGATATGGACTCGAAGAATTCCCTGGTACTGCGGCCCCATCCATTATCCACTTGGAAGTAGCTAGCCAAATACCAGTCAAAGTAACCAACCAATCCACTAAAATCCATTGAACCCATCAAAGCAAGACACAACATCCAATGAACAACTTGAGTTTGAGAGGAAATGAGCGCGAGAAACGAGTTGGACTTATTGGTGAGCCAGAAATCTCGATCAAGACCAACGGCATACAGGGGCGCGAGGGGCACGAAGGGCAAGAAGGGTAAGAAGGGCAAAGAGAGGTAAGCAAAGGGTATCTCGGATATCAGTTTATGTGGGTGGTTACCCGTACATATACATGAACACTGTACATGTAGATGCATTGCCTTGCATTTTCAGAATTTTGCTGATGTATGTATGACTCCGTACTGTTACTCCATACCGTCCAGTCTGTACTCCACAAAAACGGTATGGTCACAAGTTATATCATTCAAATCCCATCTTTCCGGATGAAAATGTCTAGAAACGTCGAGTGTATACCTAGGTAGACTTTCAACGAGAATTTGGCCAAGTTCTTCCGAAATACTCAATTGCTTATCATCTAATTTCAGCATCCCATTTGACTTCGGACAGCTTGTACGTAGTAGGTAGTAAGGTTAAACGCTCGTCGCTCGTCGCTCACGGTCAGGACTCAGTACCCTTGACATTACTAGTACACCGCTCCTCTTACCTATGCCTATCGATATAGTCCCCTCACACTTCCAGCCTCATCTTTTCATTCGTTTGTAGTTTATTGATTTCCTCAAGCATTTCTCATAACCTATCATGCGCTTTAAATGTTGCATACCTAGATGCCTAGTAGTTCTCAATTCTTATAAACAAGGCGTCAAGGCGACAAAGACGAAGGTTGCACGTCAGGATCGACTGATCTTTTTCCCTCAACCCCAAGAAGTTCTGAAACATTCACGATTTAGAACCCTGAAGACCGTCCATCCACTTGTCGATTTTTGATTCGAGTAACAAATAAGTTTATGGATTTTATGAATCATTCTTATCTGTTCGACTTAGTGTAGACTCCTCTCGCTCCTCTAGTTCATGTATCTAGAAAATTTTATCGCCTATCGTCTGTGCTTACCCCAGTTCTCAAAAGAGTTCGCAGTTAAGACTCTAAGAATTTTAAAAGTTGAGACTTACTATGCCCTTGTTGTTACTCGATTGAGCTGGCAAAGTTTTTGTATGGAACGGCTGTGGCGGAAGAGCAACAAACTTCCATAAAGATTTCATTCAACGGATGGGCCAACACACAAGATTGTAACCGCCTTGAGTTTCAAATATTGGTATCTAAGTTTTTTTTTCTTCCCAGAAATGAAGCATTAACCGGGTGGGATCCGCAGCGACAATTGCTGTCGGCCCACACCTATATATCAGCTGGCTTGAAGACAAACGTTGTTGCTAGGTCGTCGCCAATGTATTTATGGTTCTGAGCGAATAAAGAATGGGGGTGTCGATGCTAATGCTGAAGATTGGGAAAGTGATAGAAGAATTTACAATCACATTAGGTCGAGACTGATACTTCCGCATTCCAGCCACTGAGGCTACGATAAGTCAATAGACCTGTTATTTTCTGGTCGCTATAAGGACAGTCGGCTTACAATAATCATTGGTTACATTTTTCTTTTAAACCCCCCTTATTTGTATGATCAAAAACGTCTTGTCTCGCTAGAGAAACATCGGAAAATTTTCTACTCCATTCTCTTATGTGGTGACCATCGAACGGTCTGAGTGCTTCATTGATTGCATGAGACGATGTGGGTACGTTATCTACTGCATTTTCTTCCTGTATGCGGTAATCCACTATCGTCGAGTAATCAAGGTTGCAGCATAGGGCGGCTTTAAGTCTACGTACATGCGCACAGTTCATGTTGTATTCATCAGAAAATCTCATTAAGAGTTCCACAGCCCTACAGATGCTTTCGAATTAGACACGGAATCAAATCTAGTCGTCTACTCCGTACTTGAGATCGCGAGAGAACTCACTCACCGGATATTCGAGGCGCTAGTTTGGAATTCCATTTCCCCAGATTTATGAGTTGGTCAGGAACTACGACAAATTGCGAACACTTACACAGATGACCCATTTAACGAAGATGATGGCTCCTGAATAGCTCGCCTGCCGACACTTATTGTGGTTGAACGAAACAAGGAACGCTTCGCCGAGGGTGATTGCCGCTGTAAAATGTGTCAGCCAGTCTGCTCACATCACTGCGATTGCTCGCATGGTATGATGGTATATGCACATGGCCGCAAAGCTGTCTATATAGCGCCAGGTTACTTCTTATTTGTTGTCCGGATATCTGACATCTAGACGAACATTGAGATTTGCTAGGCGAGAACAGAACTCTGTGCCTCGTATTGACCATCAACTACTATGTTATGCTTGCGGCCTATCCAATCTCATATAAGGGGACTCACCTCATGCGTAGACGATCTTGACAACTCAAAATCAGTGATCATTGCAGGATGAAACCTAGTTGGTATATCAAAAATTTATCATCAGAAGAATTTAGGTGGCCTCGGAAGATTGATTCCATTCGATTTCTTCGCATTCGACATTCTCGCAATTCATTTTGGAATGGAACAGAATGTTTCTTTCACTCTGTGGCATGAAAAGGGTACGATTTGGGTTGTATCAAAGATGCGATTAATATATCCAGGACTTGTGAAGGTGAGAAGTAAGGCAACGTGAAATATACATTAGCCTTTACCCTTCTGCAGAATCTTCACTGTCCTAATTTCCTTCAGCAATGTGGCCCAAATGATCGTGTTTCCTGCATTTCCTGACCCTCAACTTTGCGACGCGAGGATGCGTAGCTATCACAAATATATTCTAGTGCAGTCAGCTCTGTCCTCACGATTCACTACAATAATCTCACTCCATGTCACATTTGATTTGTCGCTTATTTCGACGCTTCTCGTATATATTTGACAGCAATTCTTAAACGCAGTCACAGATCCTCCCTCACTCACTCGTTTGCAGAGCATGGTAAATTTATCAGTTCAAAGTTACTAAATTTCAGTGCCCCTTAAATTAAATCAGCCTGACTGGGTATCCGTGTAGACATGCTTTTCGATCAATGTCAATGATCTGCCCTCCCCCCCCCTCAAAAAAAATGCAACCAACATCCCAAACGCCTCAGACGACTCCTATGCTCTACAAACGCCGAAGATATAGGAAAATTCAATGACTCCTTATCTCATCGCGCCGCAAAGCCTACGGAAGTAATTTGGATTTGCTTTCTTTCTCCATGCCCTCTCCTACGTCATTATCTCTACCTCTCATTCTTTTTCGCAATTTAATCCATAAAGTCGAATGTGACAGAGCCATTGAAATCAACATTACAGCAGCCCAAATGAAAGGAAAGAATCTCATTGCTGTCAAATACTCTTCCGGAATACGAAGAATTGTAGGAGAAGAGAGACGATACATCTCGAGGATTTCCGTTGAATCTAATTCATTTCCATCCTTGTCTAAAGCTATGGCTTGATAGAAAGCAGAAGAATTGGACGGCCGCACTCCGGTTTCGAATCCGGTCTTAGGCATGGTGAGAAGATGATGCATAGTGGTCGGAGAACTTCCTCCGTACTGTAGAGATTTGTTAGTTCCAAAGGATGGAGGTCATACAAAAACAAGGTACTTACTAAAGCCCAGGATTCAACCTGGGTAGCTCCATTCCAGCTGATATATAAAATTTGCCCAACTTCAACCATGACCGGCTTCCATGAGGGCTGGGCAACCCAGTCAAATTTATATACGCGGTACAAGTCCGTACCTCTACCAGAGGCGACATACCAGGGCCTGGTCTGAATTTCCATGGCGACTTCACCCGTCTCTGTGAACTCAACAAAACTAGGAACAACTCCATATCCAACCAAGAAATTCCCATTATCCAAGGCGTGAATGCCACCCTCAGCCCATGCCTGTACACTTTTCGGATGATAAAACTGATGTACAAGCTTGACCGTCATGTTGTGATAATTAAGCTTGATCTTCATACCCCGAGAACAATCCGTTGTGCAGTTAGGCGTCGGCGAGTTCATGTACATGTTGTGGTTATCAAAAAATGTGATTTCTGTCAGGTCATCATTGACGAATCGCGCATGATGCTGGAATGCGAAATTTGTGGCGTTTCCACCACTCAAATCCGTAAAATCATTGTTGTATCCACCAACCTGCCATATTTTATTTCCATCGGTTCCATTGATATATGCTATCATTCTTAAATGTCGACTTGAAATCAAGTAATGTCTTTCTGTGGTTTTCTGTAGACTGTTCATGTGAAACCAATCCCATCCCCACTCCTCGTCGACATAGGTTGTGAAGGATTCGTTTAAGCCGAAGTGATCAAGTGCGTTCCAGGTATGTCGTACCCACCCCGTCTCGATATCAACCTCTTGAAATGACCCTGTCAAGACCTTCCCACCATTGGGGCCGCCTACTGGTCTACAATCGGCAATAGTAGTATGGTAGTTATTCATCATCGCCCCTCCATCTTCCGTCAATTGGAACTCATGACCATCCGCACCCCCAGCTAGTGAATTCACACTGATATTGTAGACTTTGTCGTACGAGCTATTCAGCATTACCCCTCCACCAGATCCATGGCCTTGAAAGTCGATACCAGACCAAAAGGTCAAATACGGCTTTCCGTTGTAGAATTGTAATTTGGTATCTGAACCACCATGCCATGTATGATCCGCGTAAACTAGACTTAGATCTTTGCTAGAAAATATCATCGGTGATTTCTCTTCCCCATCCAATGTAGGCGACATGAAAATATGAGAATGATTGCTGATAGCACTCTCGTTCCATTTATTGACGAGAAAGAGGGGTGATGTCAAATCGGATGAATGATAATGCTGTTTTGGCCAATCGCCATATCCTCCAATATTAAAGGTATCATAGTCTTCACTTGTGATCAAACCAGCATCTGCTCGAACTTGATAATGAGAGGTATTGCTTAGAAGAAACAATAATGCCGTTACACTGATATTAATGTTGAATCCCACGAAAGAATACATATTTGTTGATCGATCATGAGTCTCGAACATAAAAGAACGATGGTGACATCGGGAAGAAAAGTTTCGTGATTTTGAAATCAATTTTGGGGAATCAAACTCGAATATTTTTCTATCATCCACAGAAACGATTAATAAACACGTAATTAACCTCCCTGAGCCTCCATAGCAAATTCCCCAGAACGCGTAGTTCCATGATTGATACCCGCCCCTGTTTGAGCAAATAAGGGGCTCAGAGGGATTTATGGAGCGATCAACTTTTGATGTGCGGGAAAGCAAATTTGATATTCCCCATCAAAGCCCTATAAAACCCCCGATTGGCAAGACAGTCTACGTTCATTGCGTACATCAAAACGCGTAACTGGATCAATGCTAGCAATGTATTATTCATGAACCTAGCAATTTGGTTAAGTTGGTTAAATTGGTTTTTATGAGAAACAGTGAAGCGAAGAAAGTTTAGATCAATCCCATAAAAAGTACAGAAATGGAACATCAATAGTAAAAAAAAAAGACATGAAGAGGTATCAAAATTACATGAAACAACGAAAGGGCATTTTCCCGTTGTCAGATAGATGGCTCTGTACTCCGCGTACCACTTGGCGACGATAACAATTCGGGTATTTCGGTGCTTAAATGCTGAGCTCATGGGGTTTGTGGGAAATGAAAAAATGATGACCTTGAAGGTTCTAGAAGTCCCGCAAAGCATGAAGCATTTGTATCCTCGATCATCGAAATCCTAAAGACCAAGCCGGGCTCAGAAATTAGCCCAAATTTTCGAGAAGTCTGCCGCTGGGCAACGTTGATGGGAACGCAACAGTATCACAACAAGCAAGTACAGCGTAAATGGCAACTCAACAACAGCCTCCCACAATCGCAGACTTGACAAAGCTAGCAGATTCTCATCTGAGGCGCATAGAGCTCAATTAATTGACGCCAAACACCGCGGTATCTGCTCCAGATTTGAACAATCTACCAAAATAATCAGTACATCGCTGACAGCTAGGGAAATGGCTTTGCTGAACATCATTGGCTCAGGCCCTCTAATACGTCCGGATTCCCATTTGTCTCAAGACAAGAAATCCACTGCCACCTGAATGCCACTGTGGCCATGATTCTTAATAGCGATCTGCTTAATCTATATTGGATGCGAAGTTCCCCAGAAATATTTCGCCATTTTCTCATAACACATTTAGCGGTGAACGATGTTGAAACTGCTACGGATTCCTCGTTTGGGATGCACCTACCATTTCCGCCACTTCCTTCGTACTCACCTATTCACACTACATTCAATACATCACCAATGGTCTAACGAGGCTTCCTTCATGCTCTACTTATATCGAATGAGACAACTTAGCGAGCATCCGAGTATAATCTAAGGATCAAAGGATACAAAGGCATGAAAGGAGAGAGAATGAATCATAGGATTGCAATAGTGGGAGTTTTTATGGCCATTATGATCTACTCTGGCACTTTACCTTGCATGAGAAGAATTTCAGCGTTTGTTAACCAGGGGTGAATGGTAACGGCACGATTCCATCTCGAATGGCTGAACGAGGACTCGGCCATGATTGCGAAGGCATCGGGGTGTATTCGAATATCCTGTCTGACTTGCCCAGTGCGACCAACTCACGGATTCAAATCAAAGAGAGTTGAAACTCAATACAGTGAGGTCTTTTTCGAACCTTGAAATGACACGAACGAGATGAGAGGGGTGACATGTTGCATGCATGAGGAATGGTAGTATTTTCACTTCTATGAATCATTCGCAGTTCTCTTCGCTTTTCATCCACCTTATCAACTCCTAGATTTGCATTTTTCAATTCTTCAAACAAAATTTATGAGCGAAAGACAGTGAATCGTTGGGATTCAAGATCATGTCAAAGGAAAAGAACATGTAGCATTTGGGTTCAAGAGCTTTCAAACACACCAAAGAGGATTGTATTCTACCACTTATATACAGTACTAGGCCACTTATATCCGCCCCCCCGCTTATTTTATGGTGTTATATATTGCACCACCCTTTTTCAATATTAAATATTAAATAAATCAAGAATTATAAAATTATAAAATTTGAATAAATAAATGATATATTCTTATATTATTAATATATATAAAAATTATTCTATTATTGACTTTCAATCTATTAATATTTAATATATTAATTATTTATTATAATATAAGCCTTAATTCTAAAAGATATATTAATTTCTAAATTATTAAATAATTCTTTATTTAATATATTCCAAACTATTTATAAATAATTCTTTAATTTTTAATAAATATATTCTGATTTATTTTTATTAATAATAATATTAGGAAATATTTTATATACTTTTATCTTTAGGGTTTATTATATATATTCTATAGAATTGAAATCAAAAAAAATAAAAAGATTAATTTATTAATAAAGAAATTTCCTTTTTTTGAAATCAATCTTATATTTTATAAATATAATAAATAAAAGTATTATTTTATATAAATTTATATTCTAAATCAAACTTTTCGAAAATAGAATTTATTTTAATTTCAAAAACCTTGAAATAAAATTTAATATTATATTTATATTTTGTATTCTTAAAATCCCTATTTATTATATATAGATTACTTCTTCTAATATTTCAAAAGCTTTTTTAATATATAATCTTTATATTCTTATTTATATTATATATTTCGATTATTTCTGAATTCTATTTCTAAAAACTAATACAAAAGTATTATTTTATTTTATAAAGTATTTATTTAATTATATAATTAAGCCTTATTTTTCAATTATTAATTCTCTATAAGCTAAATATTATTTAAATTATTTAGTAATATGTATTAATATAAGCTCTAATCTTTTCTTATATCTCTAATTAATTATATTATATTTAGTCAAAATCCTTTTAATGATTTTAATATTATAATTAAATTTAATCTTTTAAATAATCTATTTATATATAGTTTTTAGAAATAATTATATATATTATAATAATATTCATTTGTTTTATTTAATATATAATTTAAATCAATTAATATATAATAAATATATACTATCAATATATATTAAATCTTATAAAAAGATATATTATATAATTTTATAAAAAAATTCAAAGTTTTTTATAATTTGATAAAAATTAAGGCTTTTCTTTATCTTATTAACTATTTTGCTATATATATATAAAATAAGATATTTATAAGGATTATTTTATATATCTTTAATATATTATATATTATAAATTGAAAGTATAATTAAAATAATAAAATGTGATTGTGGGAGTATAATATGTGAAAAAACGCGTTTTGTGGAGTTTCGGCTAATAGAAGTGCACGGTGACTGTACTGCGGGGAGTTGTTAGCTACCTTCAATGCCCGTTGTGTTTGCCGGTACAGGCCTCGGACAGATTACTTTCGCAACCAAATCCTCTATCGTCTGCTTGATTAAACTCAGGATATTCGAGCTGTCAATCGCTACAATTTGAATCAGTGTTCAAATTCGTAGTTCCCAACCACTATAGGTTTTCTATCGAACATACCTAGCCGCTCACTGCATCCCAAAAAAGGTGATCTGTGAATGTTGCTCCTCTTGAAATCGTTCCCATGAATCCTCTGATTGTTCAACCTTTGTATATGAAAACTGGCTCTAACATTACTGAATCGTGCCGGTGGTGGAAGCTGCCGCAGTGAGGTAGAAGCCTCTTCTTCCATCGGTGGCAAGGTAGTTGCGCGCAAGAAATTGTGAGTTTGGCTCGATTTACTTCAAGTGGATGGATGTTAATATAATCTGGAATATTCAAAAATTGAATAGGTTGGAAAAGGGGGTGAGGTTTGAACAGCTATACCGTAGCAGGACACATTCCTCAGAGGTAAGCCTGATTGAAGACTTCAAAGATTAATAAAGCGAATTATCGCGACGATTACCATCTCCTTCGATACTGATATAGTTCAATGCTGCTAATACTTAACTGCTAACCATAGTTCAAAAGTAAGTCCCGAAGTTTAGACAAGAGCAAGTGAATATATCGATCTCATATTCATGCCAGTACTAAAAGACCACATGGCGAAGGGCTTTCAGAGAATTGGAACACTGCGGTAATTACAAGGCCGCAAAAAAGCCATATTTCTCTTCCCAAAAATAGCAATGGATTAGTAGGCACTTGGGTAGATGGTTATGATAATTACTTGAATCATTGAAAGTCGTTGAGACAACATCAACTCCATCTATCTTTTTGGTCTTTGTCACAAAACCGCGTAACTGAGACAACTTACATAAACAAACTGTTGGTGTCGGGAATTAACGAACAGCTTGGTTAACTTCTATACAAATAAACTATTTTCTGACATTAGAAAGTATTTTTCATTCCACACCCCTCAGTTACTACGTGATAACTAGCAAATCTTGATGCTCAATCCCGATATTCCTTTCCATACTCTTTCAATGTCAAAGAGAACGAACTATGAAAGTGCCTCGGTTAGGTAAGGCGAGATGGCTCAGACTATTATTGGAGCTGTCTTGGTATCTCAGATGGACGTCAAGCTTGCAAGCTAGACAATGCCATAATCTAATAATTGTATTGTATCTTCTCCTTTGCCCTCAATTATTCCAAATAAAACTTTCGACATGTTCTATGGTTTCTTTGGCTTAGGAGGTGTATCCTTCAAACCCGAAAAAGATATTCCTGATCTCTCTGGAAAAGTCATTCTTGTTACAGGCGGTAAATTATCTCCCTATCTCACACAAGGATCAATTATCTCTTCCATTCACTTAATGCTAACTGATTATCATAGGAAATGTTGGTTTAGGCCTTGAAACTATCCTCCAGCTTTCCAAGCACAATCCTTCGCACATATATCTCGCCGCGCGATCCGAACCTAAAGCTACCGCCGCAATCAAAGAGATACAATCCAAAGTACCAAATGCCCCAATTACATTTATCCATTGCGACCTTACCTCCCTCCCATCAGTTCAGGAGTGTGCCAAACAATTCAGTATCAAAGAGTCCCGTCTCGACTTATTGTTCCTAAATGCGGGAATCATGGCGGTACCAGCGGCAACTACGGAACAAGGCTATGAAATACAATTTGGCACAAACCATGTTGGTCATGCTCTTTTGACGAAACTACTTCTACCCACATTGTTGGAAACAGCAGGGCAGAAAGATGCAGATGTGAGAGTTATCTCCTTGAGTAGTTTGGGTCATACATTGGGTCCTGTTGGGGGTATCAAATTCGACGATCTCAAAACAGATATGAATGGTTATACGACAGCCTCTCGATATGGACAATCCAAGCTGTCAAACATTCTTTTCGCTAAAGGGTTGAACAAGAGATATGGCGAGAAGGGTATCACAGCTGTATCGGTTCATCCGGGAGTAGTCAACACAAATTTGTATGCGACCGCTTTGGAGAAATATGGGGTGTTTGGAAAAGTTGGTGGATTAGTAAGAGATTTGGCTTTTACAAGTATGGCTGACGGAGCAAAGAATCAACTCTGGGCTGCTGTAGCAAACAAGGGTAGTGCAAAAGGCGAAGTTTTGAAAGGCGAGTACTACACACCTGTTGGAATTTCTGGCAATGGAAATAAGTACGCAGGAGATGAAAAGCTGGCGGATGAACTGTGGGAGTGGACAGAGAAAGAGTTGGAAGCGTACAATGCTTGACTTTCATGGCACCCACTGATGGCTTATCTTGACTTTTGTTCATATGCTAATGCGATTCATTTACTGTATATTATGATTTTCTGTTTCTGTTTCCTAAATGTATTTTCCTACACGGGTGCAGCTTTCTGAGTGATTACTAGCCTCAAAAAACTTTCCAAAAGATATGATGGGGATGAGATGGTAGGTTCTGCCATCGAACGATTACATCTTGCTAATCTATCATGTATCTGAAATTACTTCTAGAATTGATGCAAGTAATGTTTTCCCATTGAAGAAGATTCAGGTATTGCCAGCGCAAATACGTGTTGAGCGAATCAAGTACTACATGTCTCGGGCGAAGTAGGCACCATGACGAATGAATCTACGATGTGGTCCCCGAATACAGAATTAAAGCTCGCGTCGAGGCAGTCGATATTGCTTTGATCCTGGCACAGTTTCTTGATCCCCTGATATACAATTTTGTGTCCAATCATTGTATACGCACATGCATGACCAACTTCAGGCCGGACCATTAATAATGTCTGCTCTAAAATTCAAAATAGGCAAATGGCACGTTCCAATCATATCGAAATCCGTGGTATGCTTCCTCACTTCACGAAAGAATTCAAATGTAACGCTGTATGATGACAACTCAAGATTAATGCGGAGAGAGTGAGCCAAAGTGGATATGTTTCTGGAAAGATCTTTGACACTCAATCGATCTTTTATTATGTCGAAATTGCCCATTGAAGGATCCCCAAAATCAGTCTAGAATCGTGGGAGAACTTTAGAGTTTTGTTCAACGAGAATGTATGCATATATAGGTCACATGCAATTTCTCCTCTTCATCCTTATTCAAGGAACAACGTGCCATGGCATCTGGAAATCTCTTAATCAAACATTGAAAGGCCGATTACATAGTTCGCGCCCTTTTTCGTATCCATGTTTTTCAATCTATGAAGGCCAGCGAGTTACTCCTAATCAATTACAATGCGTGGAAATTCAGCATAACTATACATCGTCGGAATATCGAACTCAATTTTACAACGGATTCATGAACAATCAAGACGAAATTTGTTTCACTAATGTTACTGACCAATGCGTTCTCAATAACATCCTTCCAGCCGATGCAAATGCGTTCACAAATGTCAGCTGTAACCAAGGAAGTGTTTCAGAGTACTATGTACAGGTCGAGGAGGGTTCTGACGTTGTGGCCGCTCTTGACTTCTCTAGAAAGACCGGAATAAGATTGTCCATAAAGAATAGTGGACACGATTATCTTAGTCGTAGTAGTCGCAAGGGATCTTTGGCTCTCTGGATGAGAAAAGTATCAGGGATGAGTCATGAAACATCTTTTGTACCCAAAGGTTGTGATTCTACTCCAGTCAATGTCATCACAACAGCGGCAGGAGTAAACACAAATGATGTTTATGAGTTTGCAGAAACCCAGAACGTCACATTCATCGGAGGCTATGCAACAACAATTGGCGTAGCCGGAGGCTGGGTACAAGCAGGTGGCCACTCCGTTCTCTCACCGGTCTATGGACTAGGAATTGACCGAGTCGTTCAATACAAGATCATTACCACCGATGGTGTTCTAAGAATTGCCAACGAATGCAAAAACTCGGACCTTTTCTGGGCCTTGAGGGGTGGTGGTGGTGGAACTTTTGGGATAGTGATGGAAGCTACCCATCGCGTTGAGCCAAGGATACAGCTGGCTGTAGCGGCTATTTCGTATAATCGTACATCATCTAACGTTCTGGAATGGCTATCTGTCATAGTTAACAATTCTTTACCATGGGCAAACCAAGGCTGGGGTGGACATTATCAAGCTGCCAATTTGATAAGTGTGACACCACTTCTCAGCCTTTCCGAAGCAGTAGAATCAATGGCTCCAGCTATGAAATTTGCGATGGAGAATGGCGGCACTGTAGTTATCGAAATACTCTCTTCCTGGTATGAGTTTTACACGAAATATGTGACACCCAATGAGGCTGTTGTTGGTGGTCTTCGCCCACTCGCTCCTCGACTTGTACCGGCATCTTTATTCAACAGTACAGAGGGCAGATCGAAGTTGATGGGGTTTCTAGAACGTTTGATTTCTCTTGGGTACTCGCCTTACATCCCCAACACTACGCCATGGCTTTATCCGTGGGATCCTGCATCAACATCCTCTACGCCGGCATGGCGGGATTCTATTTGGGAACTTTCATATGGTGGAGCATGGACATTTAACGAAACTTTGGAGCAACGAACATCCCAGATTGATCTGGTTAATGATCTGACTGCAATGGTAGAGGAATTCACACCGACAGGAGGGGCGTATCTTAACGAAGCTCATCCATGGACCAGCGATTGGAGAGAAGCTTGGTGGGGCCTCAAAAATTATGAGAGATTGGTCGAGATCAAGAAGAAATACGATCCTGACAATTTGTTGACTTGTTGGAAATGCGTGGGATTTGATGAGGAGAACGCAGCAAAAGATTTCCCTTGTTTGAACATATGAGCCGGATCTTGCATGGTTCTAGATAGCGACCTTATAAAGTTTGAGCATGATTCTCGGCATACAAATGAAGGATGGACCAAAGATAATGTGTATGACAAGACCGTTTTCAAAGCAGAGAGCTCGATGAGACTTAGCTCTCAAGTAATCTCATATGAGGAAAATGGTAATTGGACTTTGTTAGCTCTGAACAATAGAACCTTACTGAGACTGAGCAAGCTTCCAGTACATTACGATAGGAAAATAGATAGACGAATCATTTGAATTATACTAAAAAGGCACAATATTAATTTATTCAATTTCTAGTAGGTTACCTGAGAACGTAGGAACTTGTTCTGTTCTGGTCTTAACAAAGAGAGACATATATACCTGGTAGGAATACCTAAGTGCCTAGGTACACCAGCTCGACCAGGTAGCAGGTGGGTTATAATGTAAGCAAGCCAAGCCAGCAACCCCGCATTTCTTAGGTCCCCCCCAAGCTAACTCCCCCGCATAGTGTTATCTTAGCTTTGATGCCCTTAGAGCTCCACACCTACCCAGCAACTTATCAATTACAACTTTTTAACAATTCAGGAAATTTAACTATCATGGCACAAAAATTACGTTTAGCAGTTTCGCAATCTCATACACTCTCTACAACATCTGCCACTCTTGCTGCCCTCTCTAGAATAACAGAACAAGCTGCGACAAAATCAATTGATTTAATCCTATTTCCAGAAGCATATTTGGGAGGTTACCCTCGCACAGCAACATTTGGCGCAGTAGTCGGAGCTCGAGATTCAAAAGGTCGTGAGCAATTCCTACATTATTACAAAGATGCGGTCGATTTAGGGGATACACCAGAAAGCGCAGGAAGGAAGTGGGTAAACAAAGAACTAGAGGCTAGAGTTGATGGAAAACGCGGAGATGGCACAAGAGAGGAGCTGGAAAAAATCGCAAGAGATACTGGTGTATTCGTTGTGACAGGACTAGTAGAGAGATGCGGTGGAAGTTTATATTGTGGTGTTCTGTATGTTTGTCCGAAGTTTGGAATGATTGGCAACAGGAGAAAGGTTATGCCGGTATGACATTTCCCCTTTTGTTGTTATTATTTAGAGAGATTGGTCGTGTGCAATAGATACTAATGATGACATAGACTGGCAGCGAAAGGCTCATATGGGGCCAAGGACAACCTTCCTCATTGAGAGCAGTTACAACCACGATCAGAGGTGTGAAACTTACGCTTGCGGCTGCGATATGCTGGGAAAATTACATGCCTTTGTTACGACAATCCCTTTATAGCCAAAACGTCAATTTATATTTAGCCCCCACCGCAGATGCAAAAGATACCTGGCTACCATTGATGCGGACAATTGCATGCGAGGGTAGATGCGTGGTATTGAGTGCGAATCAATGTATGAAGAGATCGAATCTTCCAAGCTGGATTACTGGAAACAATAAAGAAGACAGTGCTATTGACGACGGTCATGCGAAAGGTTATAGGCATGTTCAATCCAAATCAAGGAGAAAATCCATTCTGACGGATGATGGATGTGAGATTGCACTTCCCCAGAGGATAGAAGGAATACCAGAAATCACAGAAACTCTCAAAAAGGATACGTCTGATTTCGTATGTAGAGGTGGTTCATGTGTCATTTCTCCTTTGGGCGAGGTTCTTGCGGGTCCGATGTGGGAAGATGATAATGGTTTGCTCTCTGTTGACATTGACTTTGAAGATTGCTTGAGAGGAAGATTGGATTTGGACGTTGGTGGAAGTTATTCAAGGTATGTCAAAACCTTTGAGTTCTACTACAGGGCCTGCTAATTAGTCCAAGGAATGATGCTTTCAGACTTACAGTAGAAGGATTGGACCTGAGCCCTCCACCTTGATATTGGCTGTAGATGGCATCAGCAACATATATTAACATAGTAAAGGGGATCATCGGTATTGGCACATCTTAATCTATTACATGTGGTATGATCTTCAGGGTAGGGTAATCACATTGATCTGATCCTAGGGTACCGGTAATTTATCAATTTGTGTAGCTCGAACTTGGTTCACCAGCCACAAGGAAACTCTTTCCCAGAGCTCACCGTTGATGATTTAGAGGATGCAAGTCATGGGTAGTCCATTTCCAGAGAATCTTTTATGGCAAGCAATATCATATTATTCTTGATTATTCCTGACCTCATTGTGTTACATTAACCACGATGTTCCGTATATTCGTTTGTGTAATTGACCACTAAAAGGCAAGGAATATGAACGGTATAGTACTTGAAGATCTATTATCGCATGTCTGACGCCCAAAATCTCAAATTAGGCAAGGATCGCGCTATGTTAGATGTGTTTATCCTTGTATGATTTGCAAACAGGGCTCGGCACATCGAAATTATTGGCATTTCAAAGCTGTACTTCGTAAAGCTAGTCAGGTATTGGAAAAATTACCGAATGTGGAAGCCAGGTCTTGGTGTTGTCTAGACATGATTTACCGTTTGGCGTCCACTTACGTAGTAAAGTGCCCGTCGTACCTGCCACCTTTTCAGATTAAAGCATTCTCTTCCAAACCATTTTTTCTTATAGCCAATTCTCAAATTATCTTGGAACTTTTCATTGCCTGGCCAATCGTACGTCTGCCGCAAAAGTCAATTCTGCCGCAAATCAAGTACTTTGATCAAGTGTTTGAAGTTTGGCTACGTCACATGAAATCATCTACAGCTGAATACCTAGTACGGAGTATCTATCTAGGCTACCTAGGGTACGATGTTTGATGTAGCGATGTGGCTAACACTGGTTTGATGTAAGTTAATTATTCTCTATCTTCTCTACGTGGTACTTTGACATGGACAGAGAGCAAAGTACATGCGGAGTCGGGGACATGTACGCACAACAAGTGAAATTATTTTCAGTCTGAAATTGACTATCGATTATCACACTGCACTTGTGCCATCCGTGCTCGATCAGCTAGCCAACTGCAGAACTAATTCTGTCGAAAGAAACCGATTTGATCCTTTCTTTCAGTCTAATTAACGCTAAGTCCGAAGTTAATCAATCAAATCGTGCAAATGCGAGTGCGGGGGTGACGAAGCTCAGTATTGTCATTATTGAATTGAGAAAAAAATTGGTCTGGTTATTCATTTACTTCAATCCACTTCAATATCACATCACGATTAAAAGTCTTCTCGAGAAGTTATTCATTCATAGAACGATATCTGCATTGCCAAAAGACTCTTGTTTTCATTTGCTTTTGCAATTGCCTTCAAGATGGTCAGTAATATGTTCCTATTCAAATCTACATTATGCATATGGGTCAAATATGCAATTGCTAACTCAACAACCTCATAGTCTTCTTCACAAACTGCAGGATCTGGAACGTCTACTACTACATCAAGCTCTGCATCCAGTCTTGTTTCCACTTTGATACCTGTTGCCGCTCTTGCTGCGGTATATATCATTGCCTTCTTGGTCCTTCGCGCAAAATTTTTACGCGTTTACCAACCTCGAACTTTCTTACCAACACTTCGCGAGGATGAAAGGACATCGCGGTTATCTGATAGCAAATTTGGCTGGCTTGCTCCCTTCAAAAGTATACCAGATGAACATGTTCTGGATCATCAATCACTTGATGGTTACTTTTACCTTCGATTCTTCGGATTGTTGACCAAGATATGTTTTGTTGGTTGTTGTATAACTTTCCCCATCCTATTTCCGGTCAACGCGACTGGTGGTGGCGGCCAAAAGGAGCTTGATATACTATCTTTCAGTAACGTAATTAATAAGAATCGATACTATGCCCATACATTTGTTGCATGGATATTTCTCAGTCAGTACTCCTCGTACTAGTCTTTCGTTCTTCTTCAGGTCTCCCCTACGTTTGTTCGAAGTTGCTGACAATTTTAGGTTTCGTTATATTCATGATCACCAAAGAAACCATGTTCTTTATCAATGTTCGACACAACTATATGCTAGCCCCATTCAATGCGTCCAGAATTTCATCCAAGACTGTCCTTTTCACCTTTATCCCACAGGAGCATTTGAGTGAATCAGCATTAAAGGAGGCTCTTGGAGGCGATTCTGTTGTTGCCCGTATTTGGATGGCTAAAGATTGCGAGAAGCTTACGGAGAAAGTAGAGGAGCGAGATACCGATGCAATGAAGCTGGAAAATGCCGAAATTAAACTAATCAAAGCCGCAAATGATAGACGCCTTAAATGGGAAAAGAAATGGGCTAAGGCGGAGAAGAAAGGAAAGCCAAAGCCAGCGCGAAAGAACGTGGATACCGAAGCTGGGCTTGTCTCCGAATGGATGAAGAAGACAGATCGACCATCGCATCGTCTAGGGAAGATACCATTGATCGGAAAGAAAGTCGATACTATTGATTGGTCTCGAAACGAACTCCAAAAACTTATTCCAGAAATCGAAAAGGAGCAAGAAATTGTAGTGGGCCAAAACGGGACATCACTCCCTGCTGCCTTTGTTGAATTCAGATCCCAATTCGAAGCCAATTATGCGTTTCAAAGATTCAGCGCAAAAAACCCCACCAAGTTGGACCCAAGAGCTATTGCAGTCAAACCCCAGGAAGTCATTTGGAAGAACCTCAAAATCAAGAAAACACAGAGAAAGATGAGAGTCATCGCTACTGCGACATTCTTGACTGCAATGATTATCTTTTGGTCGATCCCTGTTGCTGTTATCGGTGCTATCAGCAATATAAATTATTTGACTGAAAAGGTTCCTTTCTTGTCATTCATTAATGACATCCCTAGTGTTATTCTTGGTGTCGTCACTGGTTTACTTCCCTCGGTCGCATTATCAATCCTGATGGCTTTGGTACCCATCGTCTGCAGGTGGATGGCCAAACTCAGCGGTGAGGTGACGACACCGGCCGTGGAACTTAAATGCCAGAATTGGTATTTTGCATTCCAAGTCATACAAGTATTCTTGGTCACCACATTCTCGTCTGGAGCGGCAGCTGTGGTGTCCGAAATCATTGAAGATCCTTCTTCAGCTACCACATTACTTGCTCAAAGTTTACCAAAAGCTTCCAACTTTTTTATATCTTACATCATTGTTCAAGGTCTTGGAATCGCAGCTGGAAATTTGATCAACGTTGGCGCTCTGGTCATGTTAACCGTTGGTGGTAAATTCCTTGATAAGTCACCAAGAAAAATGTATAATCGATATATCACATTGGCTGGTCTTGGTTGGGGATCGTTATATCCAAAGTTTGCTTGTTTAGGAGTTATTGGTATGTTCATGTAGTCCTGACAAACAGAATGTTCATTTCTAACGATAAATTAGCAATCTCTTATTCTTGCATCGCACCACTTGTTCTCGGATTTGCAACTATTGGGTTTGCAATCGTATACCTTGCAGTCCGTTATAACATGTTCTTCGTTCTTTCCAACGACGTCGATACTCGAGGATCTTCGTATGCTAAAGCTCTGCAACAATTAATGGTCGGAGTGTACATTTCCGAAGTCTGTCTACTCGGTCTATTCGCCATTAATACGACCATAGGTCCAATCGTTCTTATGGGTGTTTTTATTTTCCTGACAGCTGTTTACCATGCTGTGATGCGCCATGCTTTAAAGCCTTTAACTATGTACCTCCCAAGATCCACTGATGGTGATGATCAGGTCGCTTTATTCGAAACGCCATCAAACAACACTCACGAATATACCAAGTCTGCACTCCCACCCACACAATCCGAAAGTCGTGGAGAAGATGCCAAAAAGTCCAAGAAGGCCGCGATCCTCGGAAAATTGTTTGATCCAAGAAAATTCAAATCACACGCGCGTGCCAAGAAGTTTGTGACTAGTCGCGAGGAGCTTCCATCATATGAAGAAGCTGTTGAGAGTCAGGCTTACCTTGATCCTGCCATTACAAGCCCCCCACAAACCTTATGGATTGTTAGGGATGAAATGGGCATTAGTCAACATGAGGTTGAGGCTACGAGGGGCATAATCCCAATAAGTGACGAGCTTTCAACATTCAATGAGAAGGGGAAGGTTGTCTGGAATCAAGATACAGTATTGCAGGCGCCAATTCGGGAGAAGAGAATCGATTATTGATCGTTAAGCTCATTATCAAGCTCTGTATGATGCATGATCGGAAACATGGAGATATCACAACACGTAATGGTGGGTGTCATGATTTGGAAGAGTGTGATAATGAAGTTTTATGCTAGGAGAAGATGGACATACCCAAGTGATTATTGTTAGTGTTTTCTGCTGCGCCATCTGCGTATGAATGACGTTTTGTAATTAATTATAATTTTATCCCTCGTCTGAAGTTACAACTGTCTACACAACTTTGCATTTCCCATTCAGAGTGACTCATTTTACCTGACTCTCTGGTACCAATCTTACGCAGCTATTTTGATCGCGGTCATAGACAAACGCATGAATCTGACAGTCCCATTCCTTCATTGCTCGCTGAACACTAGGCTGCTGTCTTAACCATTCTACTTCAGACAGTACGTAAAGTTCCGTGAAATGACGATTCCGTGATTGAGGTGATTGAGCAGGTGGCTCGAGCGCGTCAGACTCTTGATGAAGTTGGATGATATCACTGGATGTGTTAGTGGGATTTGTGTTGTCATAGGACTAGAAGTGAAAGGAGTATAGTGATACGAAGGTTCAGGAAGAGAAGTGGCACGTGAATCTATCTTGGCAGTATTGGGGAGAATTACCGATACCAATTGTTACTATCACTTTCTGATTCCTCAAGCAGATGACAGTCATAGTGGCCGCATATTATGATATGCTGTACCTGATTCCAATGACTTTAGTATTCAAGTTCCACTATATAGCAAGCTTTAACATACCTTTAGAACATCTACGGCCCATTCAATTGCACTTCCACTGCTTGTATCACCAACGCTCACACGGTTTCCTAAGTTACGGTGGACAAAGATCTCGGATCTCTTAACATTTGTGAGAGCATCAGTTTCTGATACCAGGGAATCAGAACACCCTATCCAGAGTACAGTTTCTTTTGGTTCTTGGGCATTGGTAGTTGAGTCCCGGGAAGGTGGAGGCGACGGTGGAGAAGAGGCTGATGGATTGTTGAATTGGAGTAGATTGGCTGGAACAGATTGAACAGAGTAACGGAGGGAGGGGAGTGGAATCGTCATTTTCACAAATTTCTTTGGTTAAAAGTTTGATTGGAAGATGTATATTCAGTTCAATCAATGTTTCCGAGAGAGAGAGAGAGAGAGAGGAAAGAATGTAAAACTTTTACCTTCATTCAATTTTCAATGTATACCTATGCAATGGTATGTGATCACAAGACAGTGGAGATTCATCATGTTTAGAAAAAGGTTAGACCATAAAACTGAGTCCTTAGCGGCTTAACGTGGGGTGACTTGTTACAAAAATCACGCCACATAGCATGCAGGATGAAGCTTAGTAAAAAGCTTGTTTTTGTCTCTTCCAGTAGAATTGATGGTGGATTTTGGAAAAATGGAATCTAGATGATTTATATGATATATATGATAGGATTGGGAAGCAATTCGAGAAACAATATCAGGCTGTGTAGATCTGTCTCGATCATGGCGGAAGAACAGACTCTGGTGCAGAAGGAGAGTCCCCCGAGTAGAGTGGCTCGAGAGTGGGCTATCCAACGCGATGTGTGAAACGACAATATGTGTCGTCGATGCTTCAAGCTTCGATATGGGAGGACATAGCCTGAAATTCATCCAGACGGCAGATAAATAATCAACCTCCTTCCACCCTCCTTTGTACGGACGGACATGAACACCTCGCTCTTAATGCATGGGGAAGTTGATTGTGTCGCCACCTGGAAGCTCCACTCCACAATAACCATCGAGATCAATTATGAGAAAGAAGTCAATTCATGCACATTCGATGGTGTAACACAAGCCAAGAAAGCGACAGATACTGTGAGTGTTGTGCTTCCTTCTAGCAACATCTCGGGCTGCGACGCCAATGTCTATCACCACCAAACGTGATTCCATACTAGGGAGATATGATGCATGGTACTACAAATCAAAAGTCATGAGGTTTTCCTGCTTGAGTCTTACATCCTCGTGACATCCTCACTACCAGGTAGAGATAAAGATGCACAAGTATCATTTGGACCGGATTAATGTTTCTGAGAAGTTAGGTACCTACCTAGCTAAATAGTAGTATTCAAATAGAGAACTTGCGGGACTTACCCGACACTCATGATAATTGGGGGCTAAATTCGCGGGGGTAGAGTGCTACTCTAGTCTTCTTCTCAATCATGAACCAAATATCTATGGTAGAGATCACCGGGAAACATTCAAACTGCTCGATGACTGAAAATTGAGATGCTTTTCCAAGTTTCTATCTACTCGGTTTTCAAGATCTGGTTGGAGGAGAGAAGTAGTTGACAATGAAGATGAAGATGTGATTGCTGGTGTGACAGACTGTAGGTATTCCGTACTCCGTACTCTGTACATCAAGAACTATGTGGGGTATACCAGTACCTACCTACCTACTGGTAGGTGCTAAACTTATTTTCACCTCACTGAAAGTCGAAAAAGTTTATCATTACTCGACCTACGATAGGGTATCTAGACATTTCGACATTTCTCATTTGTGAAACCAACTCACTCCTTTCTTATTCTAGATTTACTTTATCGTCGCCCATTTGCTGCTGACCTTTCTTGTCCATTAGGTTGCAATGTGAAAAATCTTCCAGTGAATTGCCACATACATTGGAGGAACTAATAGTTATGTCGTACTTCAGAGAGAAATTTGTCATGATGGGGCTTTCTACACTATCCATTGCGACATTATTCGCAGATTCAATCAGAACTTAAGCTCATCATTGCCATTCACTCAATCTTTCTACCACAATGACCTCTCCCTCTTCTGATGAGATTTTCGATAATTGGAGTGGAATCAAAGAAGATGATTTCTCCAAAACAATATTCGAGACATTCGGCCTATCCAATGACGACAATTATGTATATCGCGCCGAATCATTCGCCATGACATTATCACAAATTCAAGAAACTACCAGTACGGGGAAATTAAAGTATCATTACCAAGATCATGGCAAGGTGGTTCAGGTAGGTCATTTTGATTCACAAATTGTAGATTGATGTTGACTGACTGCTAAGGTACCACTCGCAGACATCGATGCCTATACTTCGATATTCTCTTCCAAAACCGATACATCTAAAGCTCTAGTGGCATTCTCTTCCAACGCAAAGAAAGGTTCACCTCGAGAATGGGTTGCGAATTACCTTCAATCTCGCCGAATTGCTCCTTCATATAAGATACCGAAAGCCAAAACACACATAAATCCATACTATGAGATCTGGGCTTACACTTGTCGGATGGTATCTTTCCTTGGACCACTTCCTGATGCACATTATGCGGATCCTGCGGCCGCAAAAATGACCCATCCTGTTCTTCCTGTTCTTTACCACCATTTTGGATGTGTCGTACCATCTTACGATTCTCTATACATAATATCTCGACTTGTGGAAGAGTCAAAAGCCGATGGAGTTATTGATATGGCAAGTGGAAGTGGATATTGGACATATATGCTACGCAGAATGAAGGTAAAGGTGAACGCTGTTGATAACATGGCGAGTGAATATAGGAATATGTGGATATCTGATACTGAAAAGGCAGATGGGGTGGAATATCTGAGGAAGAATGCTGGAGGAAAGAGCAAAGTTTTATTGATGGTATACATGATTACAGCTGGGACATTTACGAAACGAGTGTTGAACGCTTACAAAGGAAATACAATCGTGGCAGTCGGAACACAAAACGCGAATCGATACACAGGATTTAGCGACTGTAGTATGGAAGAGTGGTTTCAGAAGGAGATAAGTGATTGGGAGCTCACTTGCAGAATCGCAATGCCAAGTTTCGCAGGAAAGGATGAAGGAATGTTTGTATGGAGGAGAAAGACTTTATGAGATTTATGAAAATTATTGAGGGCGTGGAATGGAGCGAAACTTTTTGTGGATCATGATGTATGGTGGGCTAGAAATGTATTTATGCCATTGGGGCATTCCATTTGATACTGGTATCGATCACGCTTTTGCGATGAACATTTGGGTGATCCTCGAGCTTTTGGTATCTCTCTCATATGAGTTTTCTGATCTGCTGTCACACAGCTTGCAATGAAAGCCGAGGCTCTTTTTCTTAGAACCTAAAGGGTCTTTCAGTTCGAGGTTGAACAATTCTATTCCCCGAAACAAGTGTTTTCCGTGGTAGCCATTCATTTATGAGTGATGAATCTGGGAGTGAAAAAGCAGAGGGCTTACAAAGGTGGAGGTGAACCAAGAGATTGTACAAGGCTACTAGGTTCTTCGTCGTAGGACAGTTAGTGTCGTCTCTACCTGTATTTTGAGTGGTTTCGGTCATTAATTTGGCATGTGAGAGAGAAAAAAGAGCTTACTAGTTGATGTGAGGGATACTTGGGAAGAGATGAGTGTAGAAGGTGACGGGGAAAGTGATGTTTACTACTTGGACAATATGGAATAAGGGACTGAAAAAATTGCTGATTTTTATGATGCTGATCGAGTGGTGACGAGGGAAAGGATGGTCTTGGAGCCATTCACGATCACGATGATTTGCTTACGAGTTGCCAATGAATCTTTGTCTTCCTGCTTCCTTCAATCTACGCCTCTTTCCTCATAAGTACGAGCCTCCTATATGACTTCAAACTCGACTCATTACTAATTCGGTCTACCAAATTTCAAATTCTCAATATCTTTCAGGCTGAATGGTATACCTCAATTTAACAAGCCCATTGTCAAGAATTCCAAAATATCAAATTTGTTTCTGTGGTTTGTTCCCATATGATCGATCATATGTATTCAATCTCGTAACTCTAACTGCGTGAATGATACTCATGCTGACGGCACTCGCACATGTAATAGGGTATGGAAAATTGGGGTTACGATGGAGAAGAGGGAGAATAAAACTATGGAGCCTGAACTAGGCGGCAGAAGTGCTGCGGGTTCATTACTGGGAGGAATTGGAAGATGGCGGGGGCTACTAGGGCTATTTGATAGGAAGACATCTTTTTTCCCAATTCATCCTTCTCCTTCTGTTACTACCTTCTCAGAAGGCATTTCTCCATTCAGTATGGAATCCAGGATGAGATAAAGAGGACCCCAGCCAATTGAGAGCACTAGGTCTAGTGCTTATATCTCTGATGATTCGACCCTGCTGCAGAAAACCAAGACGCGAGTGCTGCTTCTCTTTGAGGAACTCCCAGAGTGGGCAAGGGATAATGAGTATATTCTCACCAGTCAGGGACCTGAGACAAAATTCCTACTGGGAATGCTTCGAGAGCACGAGATATATCCACAACGAATCAGGCAACATATACACTTATTTCTTCGCAACCTTATGGATGGTTACTTTTGAGTCATGGTGGAATGGATATGCAAACGAGTGGTATCTAGCTACCAATTCTGACGATGCCATTGCTTTTTGTCTTTGCTTTCCAGGCAGGACGGTCTGTTACATTCTTTCAACAGTTTACCATCTATTTTTAAACCATTCGCATGCAACTTGTCTCCTTTGCTCGAAGCTCGACTTCCTCGGAATCCTTGATGTCATTGCAGGAAGTTTTACACCAGGACTCTGGTACACTTTTCCACGCGCTTCATGCCAATTGAATGTTACATGGATTGCGGTAAGTATCACTTCCATAATCACGTTTTGCTCTTCTATCTAAGGCTCTCTTTGCGGACGTCAGGGTAAATCGTCGAGCTATTCAGCTGATCAGCTTGTACAGGCTGACTTTATCGCACAATTCTGCACCGCCTTGCTAGCTCCTTTCTCGAAATACTCTCCCAAATGCGACCCCTCCGTGGATTAGTAGTATCCGCTATGGTGTTTTCGGCATTTAATCCTATTATCATAGAGATTTCGCAAGTCGGCTGGACGCAGGCGAACGCTGAGTACGGAATTTCATTGTACGGCTTTTCTTTTATCATCTATTTATGCATTAAGCTTGCTTTCTCCCTAATTGGAGACTCGTAATTTGTTAATATCTTTGACAGCTGCGAATCACAGAGGTTTGGAAGCCTGGCTACTTTGACATTTAGGGTCATTCCCATCAGATATTTCATGTAGGTATAACAATTGGCTTTACAGTACATTTCTTGGCCTTCTTCAGGGCCGTTGATCACTTTTACATTGTTAAGCATGGCCAATGCTCGGATTAAAGACTTTGAGTAGAGTACAATTATCATTGTGTTCCTTTCGTTACAGCTATACCTGTAACTTTTCGTGTGACTTCTAGGGTGTTCAATAGGTCAGGTCAGACTACAGCTTAACAATCAAACTCCTTTGAATGTTCATCATCTTGCCAATTATTAAAATACTTTCAGCTATTGAGATGCAACCAATTATCGAATTGAATTAGAATGATGAATGTAAATCGGTTTTTGTTTCATGGCTGAACCACTTCATCTCAAGTTTGTGGCATAACAAATCCGATATATTCTCTAGTAAGGAGTTTGTTGTCCAAAATAGCTCATAATTAGGTCAACATTGGCAGTCAAAGAAACAGTATGGTTGCCCCACCCATCATCCAATTGCATGACGTAGTTGGATGTACCATCGTTAGGATACCAATGGGGTAAAGTACCATTAGTGTACGCTCCACCAGTGTTAGGGTTACCAGTTCTGATAGAGTTAACCCAGTAGCCAGTCATCAACTTGCCGATGTAGTAATCTTCATCAGTGAAAGGATATTTGTCAGTATTGGCGTATAGCGCATTCAACGCATACATGATTTCACTTTGATGGAAAGCACCCTGATCCTGTCCCGGTGGAGCATCTACAAAAGATAGTTAGTGCTGATTTCTGAGCTCATGGAGGAATGAAGAGTACATGCGGTCCCAGTAGTAGGTGTAAATTGAGCTTGCAGCAGACTCAATCCATTTATTTGCATAAGCCCAGCTACTGACAAGCGAGAAATCTCTTTGAGCAGCGTTCCAAGCCATGTTTGCCAGAGTAACATTACCATCTGCAGGGTAAAGTTCGAAGTATGTGTCGGAGAGATTGCCCCATCGGAGAGCGTTGTATTCTTGGTATTCGGTAAGATTATATAGGGTAAGGGATGTAGAGGCACCGCTCTCGTCTTTGGTGTTTCCGGTGATAAGTGGGACATCGTTAGCCGGACCAGCAATGAGTTGATCCAAGTACTTCATGGGGAGAACGTAGCCATCGAGGACAGGCTTGAAGATAAGGGGGTCGTTGCATAGCAAAGCAGTAATATACCAGATGCTAGAGTCACGATCATTGGATCCTTGAATGACGCCTGACAGAGGCAATTCACGAAGCTCCACAAGAGTACTAACGTTTTGAGAAGCTGTATAGTTCACCCCAAAGTCTAACGCTCTCTCCATAGTGATGTAGGAAGTAGCTAGACCAGCAAGGAGTGTATCATACGGATATCTAATACCAGACTGGGAGATACCGCGGGTGGAAGTAACCAGAAAAAAGCGGACTGTTGATTGCATGGTAAACTTGTGATGAACCGAAAGATTGACCCGCAATTGTAACACTGTCTAAGTCACCACCAAAGTTGGCGATGTTGTTTTGGATCCACTTCAAGACCTCAAGTTGATCAAGAACGCCGTAGTTGCCGGAAGTGTTGTAACCGGTGGTAGCGAGACCCTCTGCATTGAGTTCAGGGGTGGCGAGATAACCTAGAACATCGTCGCGACGATTGAATGTGACCATGTCAACATTTTTCACTAGAGTGGAGTATGTCAGTATTCATTCAATACAAGCAATGAAATTCGACCTCTACCACCATTTAGAAATTCTCCAGATATAGAAAGTTTGCTTGAATTTGGATCTTAGCTCGCATGGATCGTCGAAAACTTACTGGCCATTTTGCCACCATACCACCAGGAATTGTCACTAGCCTCCTCAGAGCCCTGGTTCCAAAGCAAGACTGGGAGCTTATCATTGGAAGAGTTTGCGTTTGTCCAGAGATGCAGACTTAGACAATCCTCGCTCACATAGCCCGTTGCAGAGCTAGTGGGACAAGCAGGGCCGAAGCTGGTAGCTTGTAAAGTATCGTTCCATGGCTCTCTAGGTTGAGCTGGCTTCCATCGGTTTTGGTAGCCAGTATCAGCGGCATAAGGAATACTTAGGAAAGCGACGACATTGCTGGAAGAAACACCGAAGTATTCTTCACTGACATTGGCTGCGAAATATTTGTATCCTTGAACAGGACCCAAAGTGGTTTGTATTGTCTTGTTGTAGAGCTGTGTATTGATAGGAGTAATTGTCAAAAAAGCCGAGGTGACCAAAGTCACAGCAAATTTGGAAGTAAAGAACGACATGATCGATTGAGTCGTCTCAAGATGAGCGATAATTAGTACAGAATGTAGTTGTAAATGTCTGGCTAATCAGCTGTTGAACGTCCTATTGATCTCTATTTATGTCATAGATCTGCCGCTCCATTGGAGGTGCCGTGCAGGCTCAAATGAACGTGTAGCTACATCCAAGTGAACACTTACGCACGATAGATGAATGACAAGGGGGATTTTTAGTCTTTGGCGCCCCACAGACGTTGCAGCAGTGCCACTTATGGCTTTGAAACAAAATATCCATCCATGAGCGTGGGCGACTTGCCATTGCTCACTGTCTATAGACCAATCTATTCTGATTCCAGGCGGATATGATAGTCGTTGCCTCCAGTTATATACTTCAGCTCACACAACTACAGCAGAGAAGCCGCTCATGGTACGCTAACCAGGTAAAATCTATAGGAAAGAAGGTGCTAACCTATTATCACAGAATATTTGCATTTATCTAAAGTATTGTTTATCACATCAATTACGCTTGTTACAGAATTTGGGGTTTCGGGACCGTGTCGGAGGTTTCTTAACCACCGAACATGGATCTCCTCTTCTGCCAAGCCAAGAATTCCTTTCAAACTGTAACTGCCGTGTACTATGTATGCATGCTCGGCAAACTAAATTGAACGTAGTGTCGTAGAGGCATTTGGAGAGGGATGTCAAGTTTTTCTTACTAAAAGATACGCGTCATCTAACGTTCATCGTATTCGGACCCGATAGCCCAGAAACTTGTTTTGACATACTCTATTTGGACATCGTATTAGTGATAGCAAATGATATTGTCCCATTTATCTTGTGAAAAACTTAATTTGGGTTTGTATTCTCACAAGGAAATAAAGTTCGCGTTTCTGCGCCATACGCTACAGCCAAGACTCTTTAAAATGTGATCCAAGAACGTTCTCGAGTTGATAGCAGTAGTTCATGTGATATGCCTCTGCAATACTTGATTTCATCATTGAGTTTCTGAAAGATTCAATTTGAGAAAGTCAATCTCATTGTCTGCACATAAAAGTAATAGTACCCAATATCAAGTCTCGATCGTATGCCTACCTGATGATATAGGAATCATGAAGCCGGGAGCTGATATCTAGATATGTACTAGGGCGAGTCGAGGATATTTCATGTCCAACTACATGCCTCATTGGAAAGAAAAGTCACACAAAAGGATTTGACTTTGAGAGGGGACAGTATCACGCGGGTAGATGATGAACTTCATCAAGATTAGAGTTGAACGGAAGCCCCATCCTTGATTCTCTCTTCACAATCTTGCATGCTACACTCATGCAGCTTAGACATGATAGTCATATAAGGTAGGCAGATGTAGGGCATTCATAAGAACTTAAGAATAAGATTAATAGGTTACAAAACATGTGGCGCATAAAGAAAGAGAAAGTAAAGAGAGTTGACCGATTTTCTCCTTTGGACAACCACGTAAGACGAAGAAGAAAACAATTGACCCAAATGCGTAGACAGCTAATAGTATATACATGATACGTAAATGATAAAGTGGCTTGACCAGCTTGAATGGTAGAAATCCTGTCTAGATGCATTTATGTCGTCGCCTAATCCTTGGGGAGAGATCCGAACCTACAAGGAGACCCTTAATATATGATTTCTGAATGCTACTAGGGGATGGAATATGTTTATCTTGACTTCAAGTGTACGCTGCCCACTCCCCTTCTCACTTGTTTCCAATATTTGACTATGAAGAAGGCTAAAGCCGCAATCCCCGGCACTGAAATGTGATGATCATTACTTGGCAGATCGATCACTTCCTCTACCCATCAATGAATTCGGCTTCGAGGTCGATCCATGTCACCATTTATACAGGAGTGTGTGTCTTTTCTCTTGGTCGAATGCTTGCTAAGTGAATGGTCGGTACTATAGAAGTTGGCCCCATCCTTCATTTTTTTCAATCGCTTGGTATCACTGAAGTTCTGAACAAGACAGAACACTTGAATTTGACGTGTTGAGTCTCTAGAAATCTTCTGTGGTAGTATAAAGCTTCTATACTCCTGAAAGAGTGCCCCGGTTGATACCAGCTCGACTAATTAAGTCTCTGCTTACTAATACTCCTCTCCATGGTATGATTTTACTATTTATCATACGAAGCTTCTTTAGCCACGCTGAGACCCTATATTTCAAAAGCTCAAACTATTATAAACTCAGAACGCAGCCTAAACTTAGATCCGGAGTAAACCCGGACGGGTGCCCATCCCAAGTTTCCAGTGAAAGAAACGATACTTCTCTCAAAAGACTTCCATTGAAATCCTCACCATTCTCTTGCGCCTTCCATTCGTCTTTCCTTTCAATGGTATCGCATCCCCTTTAATCTCAATTCCGCTACTTCTCTGAATGCTCATTCTTTTTGCATTTTTGTGCATCCAAACATATCCGTTCAGAGCATTGAATCAAGTTGATTGTGGCATTCAAATAGGGGGATCAGTTGTCCACAACCCCTATTGACTTATGCTCTCGATCTATTCTTGCTACTCTCTCCTAGTGGAGGAAAGCTTTAAAGATTATGGAATGTTTCAAGATCGATGAAAGCAAGAAGTCAGCGCTCTTGGCAGTGAAGTAAAATACCCAGAGCTGAGTGGATGAAACGTGTTTCCCTGGAACAGTGATTCGTCACGTGGCTTGTATGTCACGTGTACACGGCATCTGACAGATCTCCTAGAGTTTCATTCTGATAGAGATTTGATGTCAATTCTCCTTGTACCCTCTCCAGCTTGTGTTGTTTTTATGTTTTGTACTCTGCTGTCACTTTTATCTCGATAATTATAATATATGACGTGCTTAAAATAAAAGTTTCCTTAAAATCAAATCATCACATGCTGCTCAAAGCGGAAAAGCTACACAAAACCATGAGATCAACAGGATCTCTTTGAAATGACATAGCTTAGTTTCTTGCTATATTAAAATTTAGTCAAGCTTTCTCCTCTTATATACGAAGTAGTCGCCGAGGAAGGTGATAATCACGAGGGGTGGAGAATATAGTAAGGCAGGAGTATCCCCACACGCGCTGAAGCGTTGCCCGTACGTTCGGACTATGCCACTTGCGGCCCCTGTCCCGAAATGTCGATGACTTTGAGATAACAATTCACCAGATAAAATTTCTCGCATAGAAAGGTGGCTGCCTATATTTATCTGACTAAGCGACCCGGCACAGCCTTGATATTTGGCATGGTGTGCTCAGATGTTCAACGATTGAAAAGTCTTCACTCAGCTCTCGACCTTCTCCTGTTTGTACGCTCCGAAAAGTCAATTTCTCGAGCTGAAATATATACACGAGTCAAATCTTAGAACATAATACACGCTTGCTTTGTCATAAATCAAGTGCTCTATAATGTCGACATCAGAGGATTTGCGATATTCGCTACCAATTGCTGCAGCATTTCGCTCACCATTTCGACCTTCATCGATTGAGATAGAAATGAACGACATGGTAAGTGGTGAGTATACAGTTGCTGCTGATGAAAGCCAGCAACTTTTACTATATGAGTAAGAGCCCAGCCCTTTGCCTTTTTTTCTTCTCAGACCTCTGACAGTAGTAGCCACGAGGGGCTAGCGAGCACACTTACATCTCGCCCATTAATTGCCTAAGCCCGAGCAGAAGAGTTGTCAGAACTCCCCGAGGAAACTGCCAGCATGAATCATGATAGATCAAGTACCATAACTCATGTGAGACCAGGAGTTGACAAGTGGTGGCTGATAGTCATCTACTGCCTGATAGTGGCGTTACTTGCTGCGCTTTGCTTAATCTATTCTTTCAAGCCGCAATCTGCGTTCAACCTCGCATCTGAAAGACAATATGGACTAAGAACGCTACGTGAGATGCCCTGCTCCGAAACTCACAGTTCTGCGCCTTTGGGCATTGTATTTGGCATCAATTTGGCTGCTAGCATTGTGATCGCCGCTTCAGATCACGCTAAAATTGGACTTCTTGCACCGACTCCAGAGCAATATGAAGCTGATTTTACAGATCTTGGACTTCACACTTTACGAAACTTTCTTGGTGCAACCCTTGGAAGAAAGACACTGTTTGTGTCGCTAATTTTCTCTTCGTTGCCAATACATTATCTGTGGGTCAACGGCCATTAGCGCCATTCGCTTGAGCTAATAGTGACTTGTAGATCTAATAGCATAATTTTCATTATGAATTCTGGGTACAAATTTTACGAGGTTGTCGCTTCTACCTCTTTTCTGAATGGTAATCATTTCAATGTCACAAATCTCACATGAAAGAATATGAAAGTCAACCACCTTCGGTAGGTATTAATCGTGAAACCAAATGGCCTGAAGGCTATGGCGGCATTGAGCAACTCGAAAACTTGCTTCGCAGTGTACAAAGTGACCCTACAATACTTGTAAATCTTTCTCGAACAGATTGCACATCCGAGTACAATAACGTGATGTACTCGAATTACCGCACATTAATCCTGATATCAGACTACCATTTACCGAACAACAATAACTCTGTACTTGCGATCGGTGTTCTTCCTGGTTATCGTTGGAAGTCGATTGCCTCTTCGCTCTTGGCTCTCTGCCCAGACGCTTACCTTGAGATTTTCAAAGGTGCATCAAGACCAGATATCGCCTTTATCGAAAATGATAGGCCTCGTCCCATGCCAGTCGCATGTATTGACCAAGCTGAAGTGGTACAGATATCCGTGAATGAGAGTTCTGTATCTGCGCTTCGGTCTCGACAGCTTGGAGCTGACACAGCTATCTATCCAACAGATTATTACAACCCATTGGCTCAGATAGAGCTCTGCTATCAATATTGGCCAGAGAAAGACTACACGTTCGAAAACCGCACATTCCGCGGACTACTGTACACACGACCAAGCGTTCCGTTCTCGTACTGTTCAGCCGAGCGCTTGCCATCAAAGCCTACTTGTCGTCTGGTATATAGCCCCATGACAACCTTTATCTTCGGTATCATTCTTGTGATTAAACTCGCTTTGATTTCAATAGCTGCCTATTTCCGGATTTTTCATCTAGCGCTCTATAGATACCGAGATGTCAGAGATCATTATCATTTATATGGCGAGAAAGACGACCAATTTTACCATCGCCGGTTGGGCAAAGTATACAGTTGGTACCAGGGGGTATACTCAACACCAGGTATAGACTTTGCTGCCCAATTAATCATTTACCTAATAGTTTTCATCTGGATCTGGATTCTGTGGGCAGCATCTAAAGGGCGTATTATGAGTTCTGGCTTCAGTCCCTCTGCCAAAACGTTAGTTACCTCGCTTCCTATATCCACTGCCACTACTAATGATGATATCTAGAGATACTACCTGGTTTTTCAAAGTTAGTTCACTTGTCCCAATATGACAAATGGGCAACATGCTGACATGAATCTCAATCCAGAGCGTACTTTTCTACAAAAGCTTACATATAATTCTCAGCATTCTTGCCTTCTTTCAAGAGAACATGATAGATTGGCGCGTAAGCACCCTTGAGAGAGCCGAAGCATATAATCCGCCACCATCGCCAGAAACATTCTATCATGGACTTTGGCGAAAATTGAAGACCTTCGCGCTTGACTTTCCTACATGGCTGATGATCTTCATGCCATTACGTACGACACTTATCCACATGTTCGTCGGCTGGATGTTTCCCTTTCGATTCGTTGATATCGCAGAATTGGGCCAAGATGTCGGCACACTGGTCGGTTCAGTACCAACTGCGTATTGGAGTCTGGGCCCGTGGGATATCTTTAATCAGACGAGTAATTCGGGTCTGTTTGTTGCATATGATGCGATACAGCTCACGATTTTTGTTGTCGGGCCATTCTTTTTGCTTGAGGGTGTATTCTTTGGTGTGGTAAAACTAAGGGATTGTTTTAAATTGATATGATAGATATGCTAGAATGAGTTCCCAACTAATATTTAAACTATATGACTAATTACTAATTGTTCTGTACCCACTCCGACTTCCTCCGACTGCTTTTACTTGCAACAGACATACCAAGCCCTGCAAAGCTTGCCCCACTTGATATTTCGAAAATCGCAATATCGGCCTGGAATTGACTGGCAATCCAGGTGCGAAGTTCGACAGCAAGAAGTGAGTCTACGCCCAGACTGTGGATCGGTATGCGCAAATCAATATCACTTGGAATGTTTGAGAGACTGCGAGCTAGTTTCACGACCAAAGCTTGGGATATGACGGCACCTGCATCCACCAAAGACGAGGCAGCTAAAAACTCTGCTCTAAAATCACGGGAATCGGTACTTAATGCATCCACTGCTCCATACGTCTCTGGGAGGAGACCTAATGCACTGAAGATAGGTTGTTGAAGCCAGCTGGGCTCGTCGCGACCCATCATTCGGATGTTCCGGGGAGTGTTTATTCCAACAACAGTCTGACATTCTCTCGCAGACAGAATAGGTAGCGAAGGATTGCAATAATAGTCAAGTATAGCATTGAGATTATGTCTGGTGATAGGAAGCATTGAGCCGTGCGATAGCATGCGCTCAAGAATCTTCGGATTTTCGACTAGAAATCCGTCGGATATCATTACTCCTAAATCGATCGAAATAGCTTTTTGGCCTTTAGCAACACGATAGTGAGAAAGAGCGTCGAGGTAGGTGTTTGCAGCTGCGTAATTCGCTTGGCCAGACTGGCCACATATGCCCGAGACCGATGATAACAACACAAAGAAATCCATAGCCTCAGGTAATAGGGTATGTAAGTTCCATGAACCATCTACCTTAGGTTTTAGAGCTGCTTCCCACTGAGAGTAGGACATTTTTTCGAACATTTCATCCTTGTTATCTGTTAGAGGATGGATTCTACACAACGAACTGTATTACATACCTGTAGCACCATGCAAGCTTGAATGCATCCTTTGATTGGTGGCATTTGTTTTGTCGAAACGGCTAAAACCTTTTTAAGCTCCTCATTATTGCTAATGTCGCAAGATGGGGTAGCGACAAAGACTCCTCGAGATTCTAGCTTCTTCACGAATTCCAGGGCGTCTGGAGACCGAGCTCCAGATCGAGATAGAAGTAACAACCATCTAGCCCCTCTATTTGCCAACCATGTCGCAATGCTCCGGCCAATTCCTCCCATGCCGCCTGCTACTACGTAGGTCTTATCGTGGTCGAAGCAATAGCGCGGTTTCTGAGAAAGAATTGTCTGGTAATCTGTTAATACACACTGGTCACGAGGCGTGTGGAAAACCCTTACCGGAACTGCCGCATCTGGCTTGACTTCCAAGACCGCCTTTCCACTACTTTTCCCATCCGCCAATAATCTGAATGCCTTCTTGGTATCGGAAATACTGTAAATGTGTAGAGGGCGAGCAGCGTGAATGATCCCTTTGGAATGCATTTCCAATATCGCCCTCATACCTCGCTGTGCTTCTTGAGGTCGATCAATCATCCACCTAGAACCATCAAAAGCGGAGAACGTGACATTATCATGGAACTTAAACATAGGCAAGCCTGCATTTGTCAAAATCTCTTTCTTGCCTATCTCTACGAAACGACCGTATGGAGCTAGGCATTCCCAAGAGGCAAACAGACTGTCTCCGGCCAACGAATTCAAAATGACGTCTACTCCACGTCCATCGGTCATCCTCTTGATTTGACCTGCGAAGCTTGTATCTCGGCTATATAGTATATGGCTTTCTTCAATGGCATACTCATTCATCAAGAGTTGCTTCTTCTTACTTGATCCAACAGTGACGAAAATTTCGGCTCCAATGTACTGGGCTAATTGTATTGCGGCTTGGCCAGTTCCACCAGCACCCGCATGGATTAGAACGGACTCACCCTTTTGGAGACGCCCCAAGAGCTTAATGGATGTCCATGCGGTGACGAACTGTACTGGTAAAGCAGCTGCCTCTGTGAAAGGCATATCGTCTGGTATCTTACAAACGCATTGCATTTTGCTTCTCGCATACGTTTTGAAGCCTTCAGTGGTCGACATAAAGACTCTGTCTCCGGGCATTAAGCTGCAACCTTGCCCTACCCGCGTCACAATACCGGAGCATTCAAGCCCAAGTGTCTTTCCCCCAACCTGGCCAAGTGCCATCAAGCAGTCTTTGAAGTTGAGTCCAACAGCACGAACTTCAATCTCTACTTCATCTAAAGCTATAGTATCAGAATAGTGGATATCCTCGATGAATTGAAGCGTATCGAGTATTCCAGGAGAGGCGATCGCCAATCTTAATGGTGGACTCTCTTGCCACGATAGTTGCTTGGATATTTTGGGTAACGAAAGGTCGTATATTTGATTGGTGGCTGCCTCCGCTATTGTTAGTCTGCATACTTGGAAAAACCCATCCTTCTCTTCGTAGGCAGAGTCGTATTTCTCTACATCAGCATCGATACTTCTCTGAATGATCTTGGAAATCGCCTGTATCTGAGCGCCAGAGTACTGTGTTCTGTGCGCCACACTAATTATGACAAACTTCGACATCGGATTTTCAACACGGAGAACTCGTGCGAGACCATCCACCAGACTGTACAGAGGAGAAGATGAGCCATCGCCGGTACTGCGTGTGAGCCATATGATTGTACGAAATCTTGAAAGAATCCCTTGAATTTGATGAAATTTGACTTCGCTCAGGCCGTAAAGTACTGGCTTATATAACTCATCAGTGAATAAAATCACAGATCCGAAATTACCTTCAAAACTTGATGTGGCACCCATGAGATCTACTATGTGGGCTCCTGGCAGTTCGCTATTGCCAGTTCTAAAACAGCCTTCTAGCTCCGCTGCAAATCTTTCCTGCGCCACTACGTCTGTATCAGCGACGATTAGAGGGCATGGAGTGTTTGTTAGAGTAGTGACAGGGTCTATTTTTGTTGAGACTAATATACTAAGCTCATGTAAAGCTTTATTCTCATGGTCATGAAACGCGAAATCAATGCCCGTGAACCCATTCTCACTTAGCACTGTGTGCCATCGGTCGACAGATAAGCATGGCCCTCTTGATCGATACTCCTCTTCACTTAACCACCATCCGGGAAGAAGTCCCATCGTGAAAGAGCTCCGAAGTATGTCTGGATTCGTGATTTCATACAAAATGAGTTTGCCACCGGGACGGAGCAATTCATTTATATTCTTGAGAGTGATATCTAGGTTACTAGTCGCATGTACGACGTTGGCTGCGATAATAACATCATATGCTTCGTGAACAAATCCTTGATCTGCCGGGGATACCTCAATGTTAAGTCTTTTGTATATAATGTTCTGGTAGTCTAGAAACTTGGTCTTTGCTTTCTCGAAAAATGACTCTGAGATATCAGTGATTGTGTAATCGGTGTATAGTTTCGGTGCGGTTGATGGGTCTCCATGATCAATCAAGGTACGGAGAATATTTCCAGTCGACCCTCCAGTGCCGGCACCAATCTCCAGATATCGTAAGTGTGGATACTTGTGTTTATACATACCAAGATACTGATCGAGGGCTTTAAATGACAGATCTGTGCTACTGAGCTCTTGATAGAATTGTTCCAAAATGCCTGATGGGAAGAGGAGCTCAATAACATCTACTTGGGAACGAAATATACCCAGAAGATTCCTACCCACGGTGACAGTCATTTTGCCTTGTGCATTGAGATTTTCAACTGATGAACACATGCGTTCAAAATGATCGTCATCCAAAGCCAGCGTTGACCATGATATTCCGGAATGCTCCAGCTGCAAAATCTTATTCTGGTGCCTGAGAAGTTGCCAATCTGCCCACTTGAGGTAACTCTTCAAATGAGGCGGTAGCTTGGTCTGAGTGAGCCCTGCGTTTTCTACTTTCTTGAAGAGTCTATATAGAAATGCATAGCACAGGAAACTCAGATCTTCTAGGAACGTTGACTGCTCAAGATCTTTGAGGTCATAATTCAGATCTTTCTTACAGAGTGCCTCGACTCGTCCGCGATCGGAAGCATCTAGTAACTCCGGGTCCGGCTTCCATGTTAGATTCCAGAGATTATGCTTTTCTGGCATCAGGTCTTCAGAAGATGATGTTCCTGTGATGAAGGTCATTCGAACGCCTTCAAGCTTAGCGCATAAGACTTCACTTGCACACATGGCAGAAATATCGACTTCAATCCCTCGATTATCGGCAGTGGCTATTTGGGATGTACCCTGAATTTTCTCTGTTGCCGGCCAAGCGAGCCCGGACTTGGAGACCCACATTTTTCTTATCAGTGTCGGTACAAGCGTGTTTGCTTTGACTGTTCCTCCCGAGGTATATGTGACCATTGCGAGTTGCAGAAGCCCGTCAAGGGTACAAGGATGTATCACATGTGGCTGTGGTTGATTGACGCCTCCAGCTCCCTCCCATTTGAATGTCTTTATATCAGCTGTCGACACAACATCTGTATATCTCGCGTTCGTCAAAACCTGAAACGAAGGTCCATAATCGAATCCACAGGACTTGCAAAACTTGTACAGAAAATCAGTATCAACATCGTTCCTGCACTGACTAACTAGGTTTCTGAATTGCTCCACTTCGTAGAGTCGAATCTGTGCGTGTTCTCTCTCACTGTGAAGTTCAGATGCCACCACGCCTGGATCTATACGGGCTAGGCCACTGCAGACCTCTACCCATTCGTTGTCTATGTAGGCATATAGTCTGAAATCTGCCCAATTGATCTCTTTGTTGCTGGAACCCTGGCTTTGTCGAGCTACAAAACTTACTTCAACTCCAGTGGACGTGACCGGAATTACCAAGGCTGACATGAGCTTGACATCTCGTAGCTCAAACCCGGCAATAGATTGATCATTTCCCTCTGCAAGCTGCTTCATAGCTTCAATGGCCATGACTAGCATTCCGGCACCTGGGTATAATATAAGACCATTAATCTGCATGGTATCAGCGTTGTTTCTGATGTTGATTTGGCTTTTTAGCATACCTTGTGATCATCTGCCCATGGAAGCTCGGACAGCTTGATAAAATTAGACCATTTGGCTTCCATCGGGTTCCAATCAGCGACCGTTCTCCCTAAAAGATCTAGCTTTGGCTGCGAGCGTAGTCTATGCCCCTTGCTTATTCGGCTTTCGTGTAAATAAGTCTTGAAATGATCGAATGGATACTCAGGTAGATCACAGAGAGACATGTAACTACCACGAGGATCCTCGTCGCTATCTTCGTTGATGCGTTGGATATTCACATTATACCCAAGGCACCAAAGTCTACCAGCGCTTTCCATGACTGTTTCAAGGGCAGAACGATGTCTTTGTACTGTTCCGAGGTAAACAAGTACGCGATCCCGGGAAATTGCTACTTCTCTTACGGGTCCAGACAGCGTGGAGTGTGGCCCAATTTCCAGACAAGCATCTATCTGTAGGTTGTTCAAATGACTTCCGTCGAGTTTCTTTCGAACATTTCTTGCGCAAATATGCTCCACTGCTTGGACGAACTGAACTGGAGACACCATATTTCTTGCCCAATAGTCTGGCTTACTCAAATCCTCGATGGTGATTCTCTCCCCTGTGACAGTAGAGATCACGGTTGGGCCTGCTACCTTTGCGGTCCCGGGTACTATATTATCTATAGACTTGATGTATTCCACAGAAAGTTCATTCATCTGAGGTGAGTGATAGGCTACGTTGACCCTAAGTTTGCGGCAGAAGATCTTCTTTCGCATCAGTTCAGAAATGAGAGCGTCTATTTGCACCTCTTCTCCGGAAACTGTGACATTGATCGGACTATTATAGCAAGCGATGACAAGAGGATTTGCGGTTCTAGGCATTTTGCTTAGAATTTCACTGACACGACTCTGTGATAGCCGAACAGATGCCATAGCCCCCCGAGTTCCAGGGCGTTTGAGAAGCTGAGAGGTCCAAAAACCTCGCATGTATGCCACTTTCCAGGCAGATTGACGAGACAAAGCACCGGCACAGTATCTGACTTTGTCATTAGCTGCAGAAATTGTCAGAGGCATGGAAATCCTAATGACTTACGCTGCGGCAATTTCACCAGAGGAATGTCCTATCACAGCACTTGGCCGAATGTCAAAATTATTGAGAAGATCAACAAGTGCGATCTGTAGCACTGTGCAAAGCGTCTGGCTGGCCAAAGGGTGGTCAATGGCAATTGAGTCAGATGATCCGAGAAGAACATCTGTGAACGATTAATAAGAGTCTCGGGACAGAGAACAAGATGTGTTACTTACCTAGCAATTTCCACGTGCACCCCAGCGACTGCAAAAAAATATTTGCCTCTTCGATACTACGTCTTAAACTCTGATATACAAGCAGTTCTTTACCCATGCCAACCCACTGAGCTCCCTGACCGGTAAATATGAAAGCCAATTTTGGGGATCCAATAGATTTAAGAGGTGCTGGTATAGAATCCTGCGCCTTTATGATGTCTTTCAATGAACGACAAATCGCAAATGACTTCCATGCGAGTAAGCTTCTCCTTGAGTTGAGAGTATGGGCCAAGTTCTGCAAATATTCCTTCTCTGCTACCAAGCCTTGCTCATGAAGAGATAGAGAGGAGAAATGCTTTGAGTAAGCATTCATGATGCGGTCTACTCCATGTTCATCTGCCGCAGAGAAGACTAAGAGTTTTGGTAGCGCGTTTCTCTTTTCTAGCACTGATTCTGTGTCGTTAAGTTCAGAAACTTCATTATCGTTTGTGATAGGATCGGGACGAATGACATCATCATTGGATAAGTGTTTTGGGAATGACGGACTTTCCGTGGTATAATGAAAGCCAGCCAATTTATGTTCACGCAAATAATGCAATGCATCGTCTATTATTGCATGAGCGTTGGAACCTCCAAAACCGAACGAATTGACTGAAGCTCGTCGCAGGCCTGGGGTTGGCCAGAGACATGCAGATGTGGGAAACTTCGCAATCATCAGTTACATCCATTCATTCACAACTCGAGCATCTCGACTCACCTTGATCCTGAGAAAATCGCTATCAATCCTGGGATTAACGGTATGGAAATTCGTGTTTGGGGGAATAATGCCTTTTTCAAGAGCTAATATGGTTTTCACGACGCCCGCAATACCACTTGCGCCTTCCAAGTGTCCTATATTGGATTTTACAGCACCACTGGGCGGATAATTAGCAAATAGAGCTATTGATGCACGTCTATTAAGCATTCTTACACATGTAGAGGGTTGCTTTTGTCTCGACCATTGCGAAATACATTTCCTAAAGCGTTCGCCTCTATTGGCTGGGGAGAAGGGATTAGAAAGCAGAATATTTCAAAAAGTGAATTTTACTTACATCGCCGACCGGTGTACCCGTGCCATGAGCTTCAAAATATCCTGTGCGATTTAGGTTTAGACCCGCTTTGGCGTAGCAATCTCTGATTAGAAGTTCCTGTGATTTTTGATTGGGCTGCGTGATACCTGGTGTGAATCCATCATGATTGGACCCTGTAGACCTAATCACTGCGCGTATGGTATCGCCGTCTTTAATGGCATCGATGACTCTCTTAAGAATGAGAATTCCAACGCCTTCGCCCCTAGCGTAGCCATTTCCGCGTTCGTCAAAACTCCAACATCGACTATCTGTCGATAACATGTTCATGTCAGATAGGATGTAGAACAGATCAGCTGCTAAGATTAGATTTGCACCGCCAGCGATACTCTGAGTACAGGTCAGTGACGTTTCTTTGGTGTATTGAGAAATCCAAACTTACGAGCTTAGATTCCCCGGAGCGCAAGCTTTGACAAGCAAGATCTAGAGCAACAAGACTGCTAGAACATGCAGTGTCTATATTGACACTGGTGCCCAAAGTGTTAAAAAACCAACTGATTCTGTTGGCGTTTAAAGTCGTTGTGATACCGGTTGCAGCATAGCTGGCGGTATTGTATACATCTTTCTGATATAAAGTTTTGTAATCATCTGTGAAACACCCGGTGAAGACAGAAGTGTCAGATCCTGCAAGCTTTTGCATGGATATACCGGCTATAGACGAGGTCAGTACAATAAGGTTGCGACAGACCAGACGTCATACCATTCTCAGCAGCCCTATAAGTGACCTCTAAGAGGAGCCTTTGCTGGGGATCCATTGATGCAGCCTCTGTTGGGGAAATGGTGAAAAATGGGGCATCAAAAGCAGTGGGATCTTCATTTAAGAAATGTCCTCCTTGGAGAGCAATCTATGGTTGGCTAATCAGATTTTTCCATGCTCAGAACAAAGGATCTAGGACTTACAGTATCATGTCTTGTTGCATCGGGATGATAGATTCCATTGATGTTAATACGGTCTTCCGGGAATGGCTTGGAAGCACATTGTTTTTGCATGATCATGTTCCAAAACCCCTCAGAAGACGTAGCTTCCTCGGGAAATTTGACTGACATTCCTACAACTGCAATTGCTTCCATCTGGTCTCTTCCTGTAGTGTATTCGCTACTCTCAGAGTGTAAAGATTGAGGCATATTGTTTTGAGGTTTTTTTAATGACTATTAGAATTCAAAACAATAGATTGATTACTTGGATTGTGAAGCTCTTGAGTTGAAGGGGGGATCATGTAATAAGCGAAAAGTCGATGTACAAGCTATCTGTAAATCTAAAGATTGGTCAACTGTTCAAATATGTAGAACGTATCCTATCATTCTTGATGGAATCTGGATACATAAGAATTACACTTCCACTATTTCCTTAGGTCAGAAATCCGACTTACGAAACAAGTTCGAGCATAGATCCAAGTATGGGTGACGAAGCTCTAGGAATTCATTATAACCAACCAAGATGCATCTAGAAGTAGCTTGTCTAGGAATAGAGTGGCAGCTAGCGAGGCGCGCTTATACGCCGAAATACTTCATTCTTTTCTAAAGATCTTAAAATATTTGTGTCAGTATTCAGTTGATAGTTTGACACTAATATTTTAGCATTATTTACGCAACTTAAACAGTATAGACACTCATGTTACACAACATGTTTCATTATTATAGAAGCTTTTCAGAAAGATTGAGCCTATCCAGAACCCACAACCGACAACTTTCTGGTGCAGTAGTCTGCCGGATTAAAAGTCAGGCGACTGACACTAATCTTGCCATTAAATAAAATCGAAAAAAGATAATATCGCTATGATGAGACGCTAACTAGACAGAGCAACTTATGTTGTAAGTTGGCTTTAAAAATATTCCTTTCGAACATTCAATAGAAGTATTGAGCTTACACGAGACGCACAATTTTACGACCCCAGGCGTGTGACAAGGTATTTCTCGGCGCACTGTACAAAACCGATCAATCTTAGATAAATTTCCTGAAGCTGCATCGATCATAAGCTGGGATATAGTTCGGTGTTATCTTTTCGAACATCCTGCATATTAAAAATTGGTGATGGCTCTACAGCAAGTCCTAACAGTTGGTGATATTTCTGCAGCATCAGTGATAATTTCTCGGGATTGAAGTAACCGATATCCCTACCTACATCTCAGCCCGCATTTTGAATAACACAACCCTAATGTCACCACTACTACAACTCTAATACATGATAATAGATATTATGATTCATCCCATAAAAAGTTGAAATTTTGAGAAATTCATTGCATGATAGGTACAATTATCGAATAAGATTGTGAGACAACTAAATTTTGAATCGAATTAGAACTATGATTGCTCTACCTCCCTTTCAATCTTTGACATATCAGCCTCGCTGGTAACTAAAATCTTCGCGATATCATCTTATCAATTTAATGCACTTCTTGCTTATTATTAAGATATTAATTAACGAGCGTACTTGTAGTAGGAAAAAGAAGCTAATTACTCTTTATATCACCAGTGTTGTATAATAAACTCCGATTTTATGCCCTCAGGGTATGGTCCAACTCAATATTTGTTTATTAGACATTTGTTTATTAGACCCTTCACAACAAATTTCTGTTTCCTTGGGGTAGGTAATACAAGATGTACGAAGTAGGGATGTCAACCTCGGCATACTTTCTCTCCATCACATGAGAGGCCCACTGTATTGCATACGAAGTAGGCAGTCCAACACAGAACCCAGGAATCCACAGACTCCTGCATACTCGCCCTGCACAAAGTTCCCGATCTGCACCTCGGTAGTTGTCAATTTCTGATCTTATGTTGAAGTCACTTAAAGCGACAATATCAGAAAACGCGGCTCGGAGGCGTAGTGCAGGACATTGCAACATCAATTACTCCAGTGGCAACACCACGATGCAACTTCATGTTATCTTGAGGCGGGAGGTGACATGGTGTGAGTCGACGCGGAAGCCATCGGAGGTTCTTCATCCTTCGTTCCCCTTTACTATGAGTTTTCCTTTTGAATAATTGCTTAGAATTTGGTATCTTTAGGACCTGAAGTGATAGCTTTCTTTTCTGCGCTACGATTATAGCGGCCTAAACCTACAGCTCTCACTGAAATTTTTGAATTCGGTACTATCAATTTTTGGGAGTTTCTACTTGATTACATGTCACCTTCCATGTATACCGTTGAGCCGGGAGAAGCTTCTCCTGGAGGAACCTCAGAGTCATTGTCTGATAAAATTATTGTTGGGACTACGAAGGGAGTTCCGGATGCCGAAGCTCCACCCATTACGATTTTGGACAACACTAGAACGACAAGCCTGAAGACCTCAGCTATCTATGTGCTGCTACTAGCGTCTGTATATCTTTATCCGATTGATGGTACACCGTGCTGATGCCTGAAAACCCCATATAGACTCTGTCTTACACTATTCATTGTTAACATGGAGGTTACCATCGTAAGTACATCTTTAGTGGCTATAACCAATGACCTAGGCGGTTATTTTCAAGTTGGGTGGATAGTTTCAGGATATCTAGCAACGTATTCATGTATGTTCATAACCGGGAAAGCAAGTATGATTAATCTCTGACAAAAGAGCGAGCAGCACTGATTGTAATATGGGCAAAGCTCAGTGACATCTTCGAAAGGAAGACCTCAATGATCGGAGCAGTCTTGACGTTCACACTCTTTTCCGCCGGCTGTGGTACTTCAAAATCAATGACATCTTTGTAGCTCTCCGTAGTTCTGCCATTCTTTCTCTCAGTCATGCTAATTTTAGACAGAATCATATGCCGCGCTTTTCAAGGAATAGGAGCAGCAGGTTGCTATTCAATGGCAATGGTGATATTTTTTGAAGCTGTTCCATCAAAATGGTATGGTCCAGGAGGAAGTCTTCTCACAACATTCATCGCTCTCGCAACACTGTGTGGCCCATTAATTGGCGGGGCTATAAGTGAGTCCACCACTTGGAGATGGATATTTCTCTTGAAGTATAGACCGACCCTGCACACTTTACGATCACATGGCTGATTATGACACACTAGTGTACCAATTGGAATTCTCACTGCCGCAATGCTATTTCTCTCCATCCCCGCTGGATTTCCTCATCAGGATTCATTGAGTGTCCAAGATTCTACCTGGTCAACGCTGTGCTCAAAAGATTCTTGGAAAAAGGTAGACATGCCTGGGGTTTTACTTCTCCTGGCCGCTACTATATTCCTAATAACAGGTATATTACAAGCTGGAGACGGGATACTTCCATGGTCGTCTCCACTGGTCGTGACTTTCCTTGTTCTTTCTTGTATTGCATGGGTTTCGTTCGCCATTTGGGAGCGGCATGTGAGCTACTCAGAGATATCGTCAGTCGAGCCGATATTTCCCTGGCGATTTCTTCACAACAGAGTATGGATAGGCATGCTTCTGTAAGTAGCTTCAAGATCTTGCCACATTGATAAACTATTAACGGATTTGACAGAACGTCATTTCTTTGCGGGCTGCCGTTCAATATAATCGTTGTTAGCCTGCCTCAAAGATTCCAAAATGTTAATCAGATGTCTGCTGTAGATTCGGGAATACGGATCCTTCCATATATTCTGGTAGCTCCTGCTACCTCTATGATAACGACATCTCTAGCAGGGAGGAAGAGAATACCACTAGTGTATCTCCTCCTATTAGGTTCTTCTCTTCAGCTCGTTGGAACTGTATTACTCCTACAGGTACGCACCGTTGTCACATCAGTTACCGCACTATATGGCTATGAGGCGATTGCCGGTTGTGGACTCGGTGTCACATTTGGCATACTAATTCTAGGTATTCCTTATGCTGTCGAAAGAAGAGATCTCGGTATTTATCCCTGTTATGACAGTTTGTGATGATGTAGTAACAATCTAACAGCCACCGCCACGGGTGCGATGATACAAATTCGTATGCTCGGTGGGGCGATTGGACTTGCAATCGCATCATCACTGTTCAACAGCTACACGAAGAGGCAACTAGCTTCACATCTCAATCCTGATCAAATTACCGACATACAGCAAAAACCAAGTGCAATATTACATCTTTCAGCAGAGCTGCAGCTTTTAGCTAGGAGGATATTTGCGGAAGGATTTGAGATGCAGATGATTTTGGTTGTAGCATCAGTTGCCACTTCAATGATTTCCGGAATGATTGTTTGGAGACGTGAACAATTAGTCACAGTCGCAGTGATAGAATGACTTGAATTTCGGGGATGGCAACCTAGTTAACCGATATCCCTGCTACGTGCACGACCCTACTATGTGCACGCTTTTATTATTTATATAGAAAATTGAATTAAAAATTGAAAAAGCCATATTATAATTTGAAATTCAAAATTGAGATAATTGAAATAAACTTATATAATATTTTGAAATAAAAAAATTAAAAATCTCAAAAATTATAATAATAATAATGATAAATAAGATATTAACTTTTATAAAAAAAAAAATTTATTTATTAACCGATGTCCCTGTATCTTGCACAACCCCACATCTTGCACAATCTCAAATTCACTATTACTATAACTTTAATATTTAATTATAATTATAATTTATAAGATATTCAATTGAAACTTTGAGATATTAATGATATAATATAATATTATTATATAAATTTATAAAATAATTAAATTTTAAATTTTATTAATATTATAATTGCCCATCTACTCTTAGTTCTGATTTCTATCCCCCCCTTTTTATTCTTTGAAATATCAATTTCCTTATTATTTAAAAGTTTTATAATTTTTTGAAATACTAAATCTGATATAATAGAATGTTTTGAGATGCTTTTAATTTATTTAATAGATAAATTTGATATTCTACAAGCTTTTTTATTATACTTTTTGAATTCCTATAGAATTTGATAATCAATCTTCCTCTATCTAGTTTTCTTTTATCTCTTTAAATATTTCTTTTATTTTTCATTTTTCTTTTCAGTTTTCTTTAGTTTTTTAGTTTTTTTATTTTGTTTAATAACAAGTTTTTTGGTAGCTTAATATATCTTAGCTTTTAAAATAATATTAGAAGAATATAAATATACTTTACTTATTTTTTCTCCTATTAGATTTAATTTTTTAAATCAATTCCTTTTTTTTTTTTTTTTTATAGTTTCTTTTAATCTTTTTATTCTATACAATTGAATATTAGTTTAAGTTATATTGGTGAAAGTAGCCTTAAAAAACTTCAAAGTGATTTCAAGATTATTTTGATATTGAAATTCTAATTTGAGTTTATAAAAAGCTTTCATAGTATATAATATTTTAAATTTATTTTTATATAGTTATATTAATATAGAAGGTGTAGGGGGAGCTTAGATATAATATTAGTAATAATAATATTTTTATCTATAAAATAAATACTTGTTTTTTTGAAGAAAGAGAGTATAGTAATATATTGGGATAAATTGTGAAATTTAATTTTTTTTAATATAATTTAGAAATTATATTTTATGAGTTTAAAAATATCCCTTATTTGGATATATAAATTAGTCATATAGATTATAATTATTGAAAGTAAAAGGAAAAAGGCTATAAGGTGAAAAGGTTAAAATTGATATATAAATGTATGCAAAATTTATATATTATTTTTCAATTTATTATATTTTTATATAAATTCTACATTAATATAAGTAAAAATAATTATTTATAATTAATAAATAAATATCCTTTATCTAGCTTTTAAATAGTGGATTATTAAAAAACGTTTGGAAGCTATATAAAAACAAAAGTATTAGATAATTACTTATTACTTAATATTCCAAAATAAGCTTTATTTCTCTTCTTTATATTATTAATTTATATATCTTATAAATCCCCTAATTCCTCTTTATATAATAGAATAGATAGTAAAGCTATATTGTTAGTAGAAATATATATTAAGAGATTAATAAACTCTTAAGATTCATCTTATATTATTTTCATTATTTTATCTCTTTTATAGGTATTAGTACTTATTATTCTTTTTATAAATTATATCAATCTAATTATAAAGCTTTTCTCATCCTAATTGTATATGTTTTTCAATAATATATTATCACGGAATTCACCGTCTTGTGCAACAACACATGATTGAGCATAGTACTCCTACAAAGTGTTTATTCCTATAATCATTATATAGTCTTTTATTCATTTTATATATAAACCCTAATATTTAATTAAACAATTTCATTACTCAATTAGAATATATAAAATAGATATAATCCTTATAATTATATTATAAGATAATTTAGTTTATTATTATTATATATATCTATTATATAATTAAAATAATTAATTAATATAGCTATCCTTTTGTAATAGTTATAAGTCTAATTAATATTTAAGTTGTATATATATATATATATATTTATATATATTTTTTAGTTTATTTAAAATCGTTTATATATTTTTATATTCAATTTTATAAAACTTATTATATCTAAATTAAATTTCTTAAAGATTATTTATTTAATTACTTGAGAATATTAATTGAAATAGTTTTTATATTTATAATACTTTTATATATTAAAAGATATTTAAAAAAATATTAAATTATTTAATAATAAAATCATTTTGATTATCTCAATTAGTTTTGGAGAATTCTTAAAAAATAACAAAAATTTTCATTAGATAATTTCGATTTATAAGAAAAACTAATTTATTAAGGATCTATTCAAATTTATTAAAATTATAGATCTTATAAAAAAATATAATTTAAATAATAATACAAAATATATTAGTAATCTTATTGTTTATTAGAATTATTATAAAAAGGATTTATAAGAAAATACTTTAATATTTTTTGTATTTTCAAAAATATTAATTATAGAATTGATTAAATCTGTATTATATATTTTTCAAAATATATTAATAAAATATTAGTTTTATAAGAAGAATATTATAATAAAAGAGATAAATATAATATTATATATAAATTATATTAGAATATTTATAAATAAATTAATGAAATAATAAATATATTTTATTTTATAAAAATTACTATTGAATATAAAAACTTTAAAGTATTATTATTTAAAATAATTATTCAAAAGCTTTAGAATAAGCTTATATTAATAATTATTATAGTAAAATCTATTATCACTTAAGAATATCGAAATATTTTTAATAAATAATTTTAAATTGAATTGATTTTATTAAATAATATAATAAATAAATTAAAGTTTATATAAATACAAAATTATATTATATTGAAATCAAAAATAATTTAA